TAGAGCGAGTTACAATAATCAATCCTAGATAAGACTAACGAAGTAACAAGAAGGAGAAGAGTAGGATCATCAAGAAAAGGCAAAAGTTTTTTATTCTACGTAGATGAAAGTAAGAGCTTTTAGCGACACTATTAATCTAAAAAGAAAGAGAAATAGTAGAATCAAAGATAAATCTAGACTATGAAACTTGAGAGAGACATCAAGAGTTTTAGAATCAGGTAAAATAATAGGAGGTATAGTAATAGAGTGTTTAGATTTATTAAAACAAATTAATTCAAACTTAGAAGGATTAAGTTTAAGACACATAGAGTCAGACCAAGCGATAATTGAAGAAAGACATAGAGATAGATTATGAAGAACACTATTGAGATTAGTTGGAGAAAAAGAAGTATAAATGTAAGAATCATCAGCATATAGTTGACTAGAGAAAGAAAAGTTATTAATAATACGAGGTAGTTCAGAGATATAGAGTATAAATAGAAGAGGGCCAAGGATAGAACCCTGAGGTACCCCGAAAGTAAGACTAGAGGAGTTAGAAGTAGAATTATTGAGGGCAACAGAAGAAAAACGATTACAGAGATAAGAAAAAAAACCAAGATAGACAAGAATTAGTAATATTAAAAGAAAGATGTAGCAGCCTCAAGAAAATAGTATGATCAACAGTACCAAAAGCCGAGAAAAAGTCAAGAGCAAGTAGAAGAGTAAGATTACTATTGTCACTAGAGAGAGGATAACATTGTGTATTTTGAGTAAAGAAGTTTTAGAACTGTGAGCAGGTCTGAAACCAGATTGAGATACAGGTAGCAAAGAGTTAAAATTTAAATAAGATGACAATTGATTAAAAACTATTTACTTTTTCTATTATTTTAGAGATGAAAGTAATATTAGTAACAGGTCTATAATTAGATAAAGAGGTAGGATCTAAGGATGAGTTTAACAATAGAATTCTTATAAGAAGTAGGAAATTTGGAGGTGGAAAGAGATAAATTAACTAATTTGAGAATGATTGGATGAAATATTGAAGAAAATTTTTTAAGTAAATTAGAAAGAAGTAGATCTAGAGAACAAGTTTTAGACGACATAGAATCAATAATTTTAGTTAGTTCTAGAAAATTTATTGGAGTAAATACAGAAAAAAATTCAAAAGTAAGTTTAGTTAAGTTATGAGAAGAAAAATTAGAATTAGATGTTTTTACAAAAGTAATTTTATTTACAAAAAAGTCATGAAACTGTTGAGCAGAAAAAGATGAGTGAGAGGATTTCTTATGAAGAAGTTTAGATAGAGCAGACCACCTATTTTTAGATGTTGAAGCAGATGTTATAGAATTTCTAAAAAAAGTAGAGTGTTTAGAAAATAGTAGATCCTTTGAATGAACGATAAATGGTTAATGCCGATATCGCAAAAACTTAAGTTAAAATCAATTTTTCGCTAATTGACTTTAATAATTTTGTTAAAATCCTTAGTTAATTGATTAATTAATCAGTTAATAGTTGAAAGTTGATTCAAATTGTTGGAAGACAACGGGAAGAGCTCCGGTGGGCCAACCAAACTGGCGCCACGACAGAAAAGGACCAGAGAGGACTTATCCTCAGACTCGTCGCATCATCAACCTGAAGGTCCAATGTTTTTTGCTATTGAACCGGTAATTCAGGTCCCCGACCACGACTTCAGAAGATTATCCATATTCAAAATTCAAAATTTTTTTCAAAATGAAGTTGGGGAATTAGAATCCATCAACATTCAGTCAAACAGAATTCTAATTAAAATAAAAGAAGAAGAGCAGAGAAAAAAGTTTTAAAAATAGATAACTTGTTAAATGAAAAAGTTGAATCTTTTCTTCATAGGACACTTAATACCAGTTAAGGTGTCATTAAAACAACAATATTTAGAAACTGTTCTGAAAAAGAAATTAAGAACGAATTACTTGACCAAGGTGTCATAGATGTTCAAAATATAAAAATAACAAAAAATAACCAGAAAATCACCACCAACACGTTTATAGTTACATTCTAGAGTCCTCAAATTCCAAAGGAGTTAAAGGTGTGTTTTCAATTACTGATGGTTGAAAAATTTATCCCTCCTCTAACGAGGTGCACGCGATGTCAAAAATATGGACACCATCATAAAATCTGTTCAAGCAAGGAGATGATATGTGCAAAAATGTGGACAAGCAGGACACAGGCATACATGGGAGTCACCATGCCAAAACTCACCAAAGTGTGTTCACTGCAAACAAAAACATGAGACATTCTCTAAGGAATGCGCTAAATTTCTGCTTGAAAAAGTATCATTAAAAAGAAAATAGAATGCAACATTTCATACAATCAGGCAAAGGCACAAATCTCACAAATTCAAAAGCCTCTATACTCTCAAATTGTAGAAAAAAAAACAGTATAAAAGTAGACCAGGGCATCCAGTGTAATTTATTAAATATTCTATTAGTTAAAAATCTAGATATCAAGAAATCAGTCGCTAACCAATCCAAACCTTCAAATACAAAACATGAAAAAATAAAATAAAACCAAATACTTGCAAAACTCGGAAACCTAAAAAATAACAAAAAATTAACAAAAGAAAAAACAGACAGACATCTATCACTTTGCCAGTGATCAAGACACGAATGATGACTCAGAGTGTCACAGTGAGATGAAAGATGATGATGAAGATGAAGAAATTCTCAATAATATAAAATAAACAAACCCCAAAAAACACTAACAGATGTAAAAATGACAACTAATAATAAAAAAATTAACTAACAACAAAACCACAAATCAACTTTGCTGTAATAACAATTATTAAGTTTTTCCTTCTAAGCATATCACAGATGAAAATGCTGATGACATCAAAATTCTTCAGTAGAACATAAGAGGGATGAAAAATAACCTACCTATCAATCAATCAATCTTTGTTTAGCGTCCAGAGACCCAGTTTCCCGAGGCTGAGGTAGGACGTTGTTTTCTTTGTCATCAAATTTTTGCGCCAAATTAGACAATCAATTGTATTTAATTTAAATTTAGAGCTGTCATGTCTTGCTCGATTGTTTGCGACTGGGACTTCTTTGGACGGCCTTTGGACGTGTGCCAGGTACTTCAACATCTGCAAGAGAAGTTATGGCACTGGTTCCACTTTGTTTGACATGACCAAACCACCGCAGATGGTGTTGCCGGCATTCGTCCTTGATATCATCTAAATCAGCACGATGCAGGATTTTGGTAGATTTGATGTGGTCCTTCAGACCAATTTGTTGCATCCATCGGAGCATTTTCATGTCGGATCGGTGAAGTTGTTGTTCCAGTTTGGTTGTCATTGGCCATGTTTCTGCACCATATAACAACACCGAACGTCACCAAAGTTATTCTGTCTTAGCTTAGATAACATCACCAAAATAATTCCTAAAAACACGATGATCTGCCTTTACATGGATGATGTCACAATCACTTTTAAAAATAAAGACATGATAAAAATGCAGAATTGAATAAACAGAACGCTAAAATCCATTAAAAATTGGGCATTGGACAATGGAATAAAATTTTCTGAATCAAAGTCTAGGGCTATGCTTTTTTCAAGAAAACAAAAGAAGATTTTTCCGAAGTAAAATTTTCAAGAAAATAATCTTACATGAAGATTCTACACCCAATAGTCAACGAATCGTTAAGAAGGTGTCTAGGAGCATACAGAACATCACCATCCATAAGTCTTCATGTTTTGGAAGAAGAAATGCCACTAAATTTAAGACATCAAAAATTAGCCTAAAAATTCTAAAAATTAAATCTTAGATGAAAAACACGGCATATAAATATAGCAAAAACTAAGGCACCAAAATCAAAATCAATTCCAACATTTCCAATAAGACTAAATGAATTCATCAAAAACATTAAAAATATAAAGACAATGGACGATTTAAAGTTTGAATTTCCTCTTTGGTTACTAAAGCACCCAGAAATAGATACGACGATAACAGGAATGGGCCAAGATGTAAAACTAGCAAAAACCTTAGTTAAAGAAAAAATTGATAACAATTTAAACTTTATTCAAATATATGCAGATGGATCAAAAACTGAAAATTCAACGTCTGTAGCAATGGTGGCCTACTGGCAAAGGAAACGTGTTCATGGATTACTGATGCACCTACCAGAACCTGCTTCAATATACACTGCAGAGATCCTTGCTATAGACATGGCTTTAAATTTAATAATTAATTCAGAGAAAAATAAATTTATAATATTTTCGGATTCCTTTTCTACTCTATCAGCCCTGAAGCAATAAAAACCTATAAATCCATTAATGACTCAAATGCAAAATAAGATTCATAATATCCTGGATAGCAACAAAAATTAATCATAGTGTGGATCTCCAGCCACATTAGAATTGAAGGAATTGAAAAGGTAGATCAGATGGCTTCTCAAGTTCATTTGATGCCTTTATCTAAAGTTCCAATTCCGTCCAGTAATTTAAAGAATTTAACAAACAACCTTATTGTTGAAAAATGGCAGCAGGAGTGGAATAAAACATCAAATTTCTTAAAATTAAGTATGCCATCAGTAAATAACAAAAAGCCCAAAAATAGTTATTTAAATCGTCATCTTCAGGCTGTTATCAATAGATTAAAAATAAGACACTCAGCAATCACACATTTTTGGATCCTCAACAAAACAAAGCCACCTTATTGTGAAGCCTGTGATAAAAAAACTGTCTATTTAGCATATATTAAACTGAATTTGAAAAATACAATCAGATCAGAAGGAAACTCGGGGTTCCATCAAATGTAGTATTGCTCTTCAAAAATAGAAACCAGGAAGTCATAATTTCATTTGTGGAGAAGATAGAATTTGAATTTTTTTTTTTTCTTTTTTTTTTCATTCGTCTTTATTATTGCAGCTCTGTCATGTGCAGAACCACTTACAATGTTACAGATATATCATCTATATATCTTTATTATGTTCTTCATATCTTCAACCAATGATATGAAGCAGCCATCTTTTGCCACAAAGGTTATTTATCACACATTTTTGGATCCTCTAGATGTCACATCAAAATAATCAGTTTCTAATGATCCAAGCCGCATAATAGCCGCATCGTGCTGAAACGCCGTTAAGCTGTAATAAAAAAAAATTCAGATTCATAGATAGAATAAAGAGAATTAGATGGATTTAACCTATAGGCTTTCTCCAGTCTTCTAACACTTATTAAAAGAAGATCCTATGGTAATTAGCATATTGTGCTAAAGAATCATACTACGTATATATGTCATTAAGCTATCGGAATCCACTTTTGATACACCGCCTCTTGATATATACATAAACGTTTTCCTTTTTTTTTATATGTTTTATTATATATATATATATATATATATATGGTTACCATCGAATAAGAACAAAATTTCGGCTGTCCATAGTGAAATTTATCAAAATCCATAAGTTTTCTTTTTCTTACGTAGCTTACGTAGATTTTATGTTCCATTGTTATCTAGTTTATTTTGCTGTTGAAATGAAGGAAATGATATCATCGCTGCAGCTTAGATCTTACCCTCTAGGTTAGTCATGAAGTCATGAACTAAATGTTCACAAAAGGTTAAATAAGCTGGGCTCTGTAGTTATACTTAAAGTTGAGATCCTCTACTTCTACTCTCTACTACTCCACTGCTACATTTAATTAAGATTTAATTTAATTTAATTATTTAACATTATATTTTTTAAAAAATAAATACCGTTACCGTCCGTAAATACTGCTACGTATATTATTATAAAAAATAATGCTTCAACCTCCGTTGTGTATCCTTTTTAGTTTTTATTTTGTCAGTGGTAAATAATAGTAATGAAGTTTACCAAAAATTTACTTATTTACTAGGTCCATGGTAAATATTTTAATTAATCTTGAATAAATATCACAACGTATTATTTTACTTCATCATTCATAAAAATTTACTGTGTTCTCAGTAAAATGTTTTGACACGGTTTTTTTTAAAATAGTCGACTTTACCACTGCATACAATATACTTTATACTAGGTCTATGAAAAATGATGTGGCTTCTGTCATAGGCGCCCACAGAAAATTTTTGGAAGGGGGGCAAGGGTGCAGGCTGACAAATTTTCTAGAGGGTGGAGCAAAATGTTTTTAGTGGTGTTTTCATACAATTTTGATTTACAGAGCATATTTTTTTTAAACATTTGCTCAGACCACTATTAAATTAAAGCACAAAACATTAATAAAATCTTTATTATAACAATCTATTAAAAGCACAAAATATTAATAAATTTTTAATTATAACAATCCCATTTTCAGTACAATAATGAATACAAACATCATTGAAGATATATGCCCATTTTGCATTAATGACTTTCTTTAATGAACACTCAACAAGTCTGAATTTATTAGACTCGTATTTATTTAAAACAATAGACATGGTAAGGCTAACAGCGCTGTTTCGGGAAGTCCATCTTCAGAGCCTATGAAAATAAGAATAGCATGAAATATTTTTATAAAATTAGAATGCATATTAAATGTGTAATAAAATTATTAAGAAAATAACGAGAAACCTTTGTTAGTGAAAACAATGCAAAACATGTACAAATTAAATTTATGGTTAAAAATATAAATGTTATAAAAAGTTAGTAAAATAGTATTAAATTAAATATTAAAACAAATAAATTAATACTGAAATTTAGTTCAGTGAAAATTTGTTAAAATCGGATGATGTAAATAAAACGTAAATAAGTTAGTTGAATGTGAAAAGAAGACATGTGTGGAAAGAATATGGAAAATTGTCAAAATTAATTATTAAGTTTATAATGATATATAAGAAATTTTAATAAACGAATCCGTAAATGAAACAACTAAATTAGATTAAAATGGAATATAGACTATTTATGAAAAAATATAATGGAATAAGATAAAATAAATGAAATAAAATGAAAAAATAAAATAAAAATAAAACAAGTAATTGTAATGTATCACAGCTAATATGGATGTTAAGATGCACTGTCGAATAACGAAACCAGCGATACGGAAACATTAGTCCTATGACGAGTGGTAACATGTTCACCATTAAACAGTATCGCTTCTTTTGGCATTGGCTCGTATTCGAAGTGGCGCAACATTGGTGGTTCTATGATATTGGTATGAATGGCACGTTGTTGACTATCATGTCTATACTGGGAGTAAAGATGTAGGCTATGATCAAATGTGTTAAATTGTTTATTCATAGCGGGTTTATTCTTGTAGATGTATAAAGCTTCTTTAATTTTGAGGCGAACTGGGTGCGATTCACGTTCAAGTATTTCCGTGTTAACATCAAGTAATGCTCTGGTTAGTGGCAAACCGTGAGATTTCACTAACAAAGGTTTCTCGTTATTTTCTTAATAATTTTATTACACATTTAATATGCATTCTAATTTTATAAAAATATTTCATGCTATTCTTATTTTCATAGGCTCTGAAGATGGACTTCCCGAAACAGCGCTGTTAGCCTTACCATGTCTATTGTTTTAAATAAATACGAGTTTAATAAATTCAGACTTGTTGAGTGTTCATTAAAGAAAGTCATTAATGCAAAATGGGCATATATCTTCAATGATGTTTGTATTAAAGAAAACCTCGTTCCGAAATACAATAATGAATGTAAACAAATAATTTAATTTAGGTAATAACACAATTGAAATGAAATTTATTCTTTAAACAAAAATTGAAGTCATCTGTTATCGCTGCCAAACATATCAACAATTTTGACCATAAAAAATATTTTGTTGCAATTCATTTTTTTTCTGTGTACTCTCAACAAGCACAATCCAGACAATCGATCATGTGTCATTGTAGATCTAAGCCATGTTTTTACATGCTGAATGATTGTTCCACTGTACAAGTTATAGTTGGTAATGTTAAAATTAGCAAAATTAGCAAGGTTCGCTTGAAAGCCAGATAAATCTGTGTAAAACGTAATAAGCCAATGAAATCTTCACAAGTTTTGAAATCTCACCTCTTCCAAAAATTCTACCAACTCAAGGCTTTTGTTTCAAAGTTATCAAGGTTGTAGACTTGGTTGATTAGAAAAAGTTTGTCAATAAAATAAAGTCTTGATGATTCAGTCAGTTTGCACAATTTAAAAGGATGCAGCAAGGCCAAGCTAACTTGTGCACTATTGGATTCAGTTTCAGAATATTGATTTTCCAGTGAGCTAATTAATAAATCCAAGTATGGAATGTTAACTGTTTGCCTGAAGTAATTTTCATTATTCATTGTCCCAGGATTGCTTTGATACTTTTGTTTTCTACACTGACTTGGGATAGTTAGTTCAATATTTGTTGTTTGTGCAAGATCTACTGTTTTATCAAAAACATCTCTAAAACATTTTTTGGATTCATCTCTGTGAAGTTTAACTACTTCTTTTTTTAAGCCTTAACCTTGTGCTTATTGTGCTTCAGCTTTTTTGTCAAATAAATTGAATTGAAATTGAATTGACACAAGGACTTCACGAATGTTATTTGTTGTTGACCGCGATCTTTTTTCTCTGCAATTTTTCCATTAGTTTTCCATTCTTTCCTTCCGCATAATGCGACCAAAAAACTTTACCTGCTCCCATCGGATTATCTGTAGTAATTTTCTCTTTTTATAACCAGACTGTTTTAATACATCCTCATTCGATTTTTATCGAATTTTTATAATTTTTCTCAAAAAACCACATCTCAGCATTGTTAATCTTTTTTCCATTTCTTTAGAAATAGTCCAGGACTTAGAGCTGTAGGTTAACACAGGAAAAATGTAACATCCTAACAGTTTTAATTTTGTTGATATTCTGATTTTACTGTTGGTGAGGATGCTTTTCATTTTAGAATATGCATCCTTCCCCATAGCTATCCTTCCTTTGATATTCATATCACATTTACAACCTGAAGTAATCAGACCTCCGAGATAATTGAAGCTGTTGACTTGTTTCACCTGTTTACCATTAATGATTATGGAGCGGACCAGGGCTTTGACTGATAACCATAAAGCTTATAATTAATTAAAATAATATGCATTTTAATGTAATTTCTCAATTTTAAAAAGTCGATGGTAAAAATAGAGTGATATTACAAAGTTTTACCATTTGACCTGAACTGATAAAATATTTTTCAAAATCCAAGAAACTTGATTTCTTGGATTAAAAATGGGACAATTGAGATATTATTATACTTAATTATTTATATTATGTTAAAATATATTATGTTAAAATGTTCAATTATATATTATGTTTCACCAGAGAAGCCATTTAAAAAGGCTTGCTGACTTCATTTTGACGAGGCTGTCAAAAGACTGATCTCGGTCGCCGAAAATTTTGTATTTGATAGATGTCCTTTGTCATTTAGCTATTTATATTTATTTATTCATGCATTCACATAACGTTGTATCTTCCTTTCATTCTTCTACTAATTACAATGTCATTTATATGTAGTGTGTATATAGGACACCAAAGAACTAATAAAATGTTTGTGGGAAGGGTAATAATTTTTTTAATATTTTTTGTTTTGAAATTATACAAGATGAATATCTTAAATGACATTTAAAAGTTTCTTAAAAATTGTTTACCTCTTAGTTTAATTCTGTATTAATTATTTTGAAATAACCTTTTAACTTATATGATCCGTTAACTAGTCCAAAATTGATAACCTTTTGCATTTTATGTTTAAGTTGAATACAGATTTATTAATGCCTTATATAGTCATTTTGATAATTAGACAGGAAAAGGAATTTTGATGGAGAAGCGTCAGGAGTTCCAAAAAGAAAAAGGACAATACGGAGCCTTGGAGATGGAAAGGTGAATAAAAAGTTGTTATTGGTAATAATGAGGACGTTTCACCTCCGTCACTTTCGCCTTTTTCGCCTTCAAGACATTTCGTCGTTTAAAAGACGATTCACCACCTCAATTTCATTGTTGAATGTTTCTTTTCCCGTCACTTTCGCCCTCAAGACATTTCGCCCGCGCCTTAGACGTTCGCCTCCTATCCTTTAAGTTTAAGGCTAGATGCTAGGTGATTTGCATTTATATATATATATACATACATATATACATACATATATATTATTGTTATTATTATTATTAAATGCATTTGTATAGCGCCTATTAAATGAGATCTCACAGGCACTCTCAAAATCCTGTAACAATAAATTAAAGAAATGATTGTCAAAAGTCAAGTTTATCCACAATGTACATTAAACGAATATACAATGTATACTTGTATAATATAAAAGTAGCGGGTAAATGAAAAAATTAAGTCAAATTAACAAATCATAAATTTAAAGTTTGCAAATAAAACTTTTAAAAATAAAACATAAAAAATAAATGTCCTGGTTATGACATTAAACTGACCCTCACTGCCTCGTGAGTGATGTTGGATCATCAAAGGCTAGGCCCACCTCTTATAACTGTGGTTGCGTAAGGAAGGGCGTCCTGCGTAAAAATTAGCCAAATAAATTACTTATGATGGAATGGCGTCGAGGGGTATTTCGGTTTCATCATAGGTAGCCAAACGGCAACCCCCGATCTTGGGGAAAATGTCGTCTAAACGTGTGTTGTTGTTGAAATAAAACATGACAATAGTTCTATATCATCGTTTCACATCAGAACATGTCCTGACATTGACATCGGCATTTCTGGTTCTGCCACTTTTGCTGTTGTTATTGAAAACCCAATTCATAACCTGAACATAATCAGGCCAAGAACTTGATCTTTCAACTATTTCCGCATACTTCTCATCTACACACAACCGGAATGACGTAGAAGAGTGGGTTTCATCAAGTTTTATTTTGTCATCTCTACTCTTGAATACAGGGTTGCAAGACTAAACTTTAACATTTATTGACTCAAGGTGGTCAACAACATTGCGTGTACAAGTCTTTGAAATATTACCAATGTGATAAAATTTTTTCCGATATACAACTTTACTAGCTGATATTTTACATTGCGTAGGCCTATGAGGTTCAACAGTGGTCTTTGATATTGCATGACAACATGGACTTGTATTAGTTGATAGTAAAATGTTTTTTCTTTTCTTGCGTCTGACTGTTATGAAATTTCCACCATCATTGTTACCTTCTTCAGCAATGTCAGACAAATTTTTAGCGACTGATGTCTCAACATCTGAATCTCCATCAGCGTATACATCACTGCACACGATACTGTTCACTTTTTTTGGACATCACTCAGTATATTGCCATGCTCTTCAAGAAATTCCGGATATCACTCAGTATATTGCCATGCTCTTCAAGAAATTCCGGATATATATATATATATATATATATATATATATATATTCATACATCGGTTAAAATAAATTTTTGCTAAAAATCTTGATCTATAGAACCAAAAACATCAATGAAAAATTAATTTAAAAAAACATTTAGCTTTTTATCTGTGTTTAGAATATCGTTTAGTTTTTGATTATCGTCATAGCTTCCGTAGTTGAGTTATTACCAAATAAGAATTTCGCTTTAAAAAACTAGCAACATAATGTGCTGGCTTCATGCTGCAAAAACTTTGCACTTTTTTTTACGTCGTCAACTGCAAAGAATTCGCAAAGAGAAGTTTTCATTTCTTTTTCATTTATCTGGTTTCGAACGTACCAAATATAAAACGATAACATATCAATTACGTATTTTTTATCGCTTTTAACCTCGACAATTATTCCTTCCGCCATTTTCCAAAGAACATATATATATATATATATATATATATATTGCTCAGAAATATATATATATATATATATATATATATATATATATATATATATATATGTTAGGGACCTGCGAATCAGGAAATTTTTTAAAATCGAATATCGAATCGACTATCAGAAAATATTCGAATTTCGAATCGAATTCGAATCGAATATTCTTGAAAAAACTTGACAACCAACAAGTGTAAAATAAAACTTTAAATTCAAAATTTATATTATATTTATTTAATACTAAAACACAAAAAGTTAGCAATAATTAAATTGCAAAGCAGGCCTTTTAAAAGAGTAGATCTTTGTTTATTTTGGCTCAAATCAAAGTTTCAGCATTATTTTCCGAGAGATTGTGACGATAGTCAGTAATAATTTGTTCTCCAACTGAATTAACTCTTTCTGAAGAACAATTTGTTGCGTGAATTCCTAGCTGCTCTGGCCAAAAGTGGAAAAATATTAATACTTTCTTTCCAAAACTGAAGAGGATCACTGTTTCGATCTACAACTGCTTGCTTTAAATACAAACTGACTTCATTTTTAATTTGCTCAGAAATGGTGGAAATTTTGTTGATTCTGATATCTCCTTGAGCATTATGCACTTTATTGAACATTGAATCCATAAGGCTTCCTCTATTCCTGTCTTGAACAAGACTCACGTGGCAATTCATCAGAATTTTTGCCAATTTTGCTTCCTTCAGAGTTTGCCAATATTGTCTCTACAAATAAGACAGCTTTTTTAGTTTCAGCTTATGAAAATAAGTAGTGTTTAAATCTTGGATCAATGAATGTGGCTGCCAGGAGATGATCTATTGTCAAATCAAATCTTACTTCAATAGCTCATCTCGAAATTGTTGGTAACTTGTTGATGATTTGGACACTAACTCTTCCTTCAATGTAAAAATGCAAGGATAGATCAAACTTATGCTGACATTGGAATCAGCACTCAAAACTGTTGTTGCTTCTGCTGTTGGTCTTAGAATTGGAAGAATAGCTCTCAGAGTATCTTGTAAAGTTTGTGTTAATGGTTTTGGTGGATTTGTTGCACGTTTCTTTTAAACACCACATTCTACAAGTGCAAGAAAGACAGGAACAGAGTTTTGGTCAATCCATTCTAGCAAATAATATGTACTATTGAATCTAGTAATAACATCTAACGGAGGCTTTGATTCCTTCATTCCTTGATCAGTTTGATATTTGGACAACATGTTTTGACCAACAGTTGATGAATGAAAAAAACTAGCAATCCTGTGAACATAACTGATTAGATTCTGAATGATTTTTGAGCATCTAAAGCAGCATTAATTGAAAGTTGCAAACTGTGAGCAGCACATCCTTGCCAGCTTATTCCCAACTGTCTAGCTGTACAAGGCATTGTGTTTGTAGTATCTGTAGTGGCATAAAAAACTGAGCTTAATTCAATGCAATATTTTTCCAATTCTCCTCGAATAATTCCCTCTTGCTGAAGAGGTGTAATCTGCAATTTAGATTTTCCAGATTTACAACTGACAAGCATCTTGATTTGAGGGTCCAATCTGATTCAGAAATGAAATGAAGAGTGATCACAAGATAGTTTGTTTGGTTGTCAACTTTCCAATGATCAAATGTGATGGAAGGTTTGGAGGTTGCCATGTCTGATCTTAAGTTTGCTCCAAATTGTTCATGAAAGATATTGACCATGTCATCTAATCTTCTGGAAAGAGTTGTTGGATGTGGTGCATTGTAGCTGCCATTTGTAAAGACATAGCACAAATTTTTGAATCCAATTCCTGCAGCACTTCAAAGGGTCTTCCATCAGCCACAATAAAGTTCAAGACTGCTTTATCATACATTTGTGGCTTGTGGTTTTCCAAAACTGGTACCTTTCAAAAACAACGTTTTTACGTGGTGAGCGATACTCTTAAAATTTCGCTTTTACTGCAATTATTCTATCTTTGTCCTCTGGCGGGTCAAAAGTGAATGTGTTGAAAATGTGAAGTCTTTCGTCACCAATCCAACTCAGAAACATCGCAACTTTTACCTTTTCTGGAAGCTGGTCCTACCGAGAAGCAAGAAGAAATAGCTCAAATCTCTGTATCCATACTTTCCAGCTCTCTTCAACATTGCCTTGACCGAACTTCAACGCCGGAGGCGGTAGAAAACCTTTAAAAACGTCAGTCATTATTTTATTGATGAAACTTATACTATCGTTTAAACATTTATTTTTACTATATTTAAACAATTGTCGACGGCGCCATGTTATGTTTTACATGTTTTATTTAATATAAATTCAATTCAACACAAGTGTGCGTTACGATATCTCAGTTTATTCGATAAACGTCCAAAAGATACTAAATATAAAAAGATACAAATGTCACAACACCCATTTGAAATTTTATAAATAAATTTTGGTTAAATTATTTTGGTGTCTAAACTATAAAAAAATAAAAAGTTTACCTGTCTGACATTTCAAGTGACACCATCCTCTAAATTCATTGCATTCAATAGCGAGCTGCCTAAGGCTCATTCTAGTCCCACAACCACACAGTCCATCGTAAATTTGAAAATTTGTTAGATGTAATTGTAAAACCAGATATAACTACAGCAGGATACACTAATTTTAGCTGTTTTATAATGACATTCCACCAATCAGCTAAAATGGATTGCTAGAGCTGATAATTCAGCGTATATAATTAGGTGCTTGCGCGTGCACATAAAATTCATGTGTACGTCGTGTAAGAAGGATAAACAGCCTTTGTGGCGAAGATGGCTGCTTCAAATCAATGAATGAAGATATGAAGAGCATAATAAAAGATATAGATAATATATTTGTAACATTGTAAATGGTTCTGCGTATGTCAGAGCTGCAATAATAAAGACTAACAAAATTCCTTTTTCGCGAATCGTTAGGATGATGATAATTGTGATAACGGAATTTAGTACTTGTTGATATTATATTGAGTTAACATGCAATTCTTATCAACATTTTCATAATAATAATTGCGGATCTAGACAACTTTGACGGGAGAGGGCCTAAATTTTCAAAATATTTAATAATTCAATGTTGACCGGGTGGAAGAGGTTTTTCGAAAATGTTTAAAATGTGTAAGTATTCACCGGGGGGCACAAAATTATGCTAAAGAACTTTTTTGGCTTATAATGTCAAATTTTCGTCAAAAACAGTCTTTTTCCGTTAAAACAATGACATTTTTTGACTTTTGCTACTAATATTGCTCACAACAGGTGGGGCACTGGTCCCCTCGCCATCCCTTAGATTAGTTACTGCACATACACACAAACACACATTCACATAGACATATACGAACAAACACATACTCACAAACATACGAACATATACTCGCAAACACATGCGGGCGAATAGTTTAATGGGCGAATCGCCTATTTGACTCAAATTGTATTGCGAGCGAATCGTCTTGAAGATGAAAAGTTTAATAGGCGAAACAACGTCTGGTATTCGGTAATAACAAATATCCCAAATTTATTATACAGTTTGTAGAATCTGATGCATACTGTTGGATATGCCATTGTGATGGTTCCGGAGTCTGTTGTGAGCTATGTCCAAGACTTTATCATATCAAATGTTTACCACAAAATCCCTCATCTGAATCATGGGTGTGCCTCGAATGTCAGGTTTACACTATTTTGACATTTTAAAATTAAATTACTCTTGAAAATAGTGTATTAAGTTACAATCAAGTTGTATTTTAGTAGGTTGTATTTTTCAAGCTGCGTATTCATAATTGTTTTAACATATAACTTTTTAAACCTGAAATGAGTATGCCTAAACCCTATGTTTTGTTTGTAAATGACCGTTTAACTCTTGAGCTTTCGATCTCATGCAGTTCATCTTTCAATGGTTTTTATCTTTTCGTACATAAAAATTTTTAAAATTAGTTAATGACGTGTTTATTTTGGAAAATTTAGAAAATCATAATGGCAGAAACTTTAGAAACAAGACCTTTGGCAATGCAATCTATTTCTGTTGACACTTTGTGTATTCTCTTGAAATATGTTCTTCAAAGAATGAAACTTCCGGAGGTTTTTTTTGAGTGTAATTTATATCTAGTGTTTTTAAACATTTTCTTACTTATGCAGACAAAACCATTTCATCAACCCGTTGATTGTGGTGCTGTTCCATCTTATACAGATTATGTGTTTCATCCCATGGATTTTGCTACTATCGACAAGGTTGAACACTTATAACTACAAGATAGAAATGTACGTAATAGTGAATTTGGCTATTGTTTGAACAACCAAATAGTTGAGTCACTGTTCGACCAGAGCCAAATTGAAATGCTTAAGAAATTAACATTTTAATGCATAAATAAAAAAATTATTCAAAAATTTTTTAAATAACCCTATATAGCAAATTGAAATATTATTATTTTCAAGGTAATCATAAAATGTATTGAAAATACCTTTTTACACATGAAAAAAAAGAAAATGAAATTTGAAACTGATTTTATGGTATATTTAATATTCAAAAACTAATTTTACAATGTTCAGCTATTCGGCCCTTCAAATGACGAAACCATTCTTCAATTTGCCAAATATTTAGTGGATCTATTATATTGTAAATTTTTGCCGGGCGATATTCGAATTCCGCGTTTGCATACAAATATACACCCGAGCCTTCACTTCGGCGGAGTCTTTCCTGACCGGGAGCTCCACTCTACAATAAACCCTCTCAGGGTCTAAAAACACGGGCCGGGCGAAAGTTTTTTCGCACCCTACTTGTTGACTAGAGACGCCGGCCTTGTCAATTATCGGCAAGTCTTCTTCAACATTCATTATTTAAGGTAAAATAATTAAGCCGAGCCAAAATTCAACTGTATACTTCTTTTATTTAATTAAAACAAAATAGTAAAAACCAAACCTCTGTCTTTATATACAAAGTAACAATTAACATGCGATACATGAAAATTAACTATCTATTAATACTATCTACTGTAACTATCACGCAAACTATCAGAAATCCAAGCAACTCTAATCAACAGCTAAAAAAACAAGAGTGAAACCAAGAAGACCCCTGATATATCAACTCGCTGCCTTATATATGTTTGGACTGCCCTATCTACATAACGCTTTCTATACTATAGGAAATTCTATACTTCCTTCTATACTCACTTCAATAATCTTTTCTATACTCCCTATATACAGAACAATACGTAGCAAGCGTCGCAGATATGGCATATGGGGCATTTCTAGACTCCCTTCTATACTCTTTTCTATACTCCCTATATAATGTAATTTACATCATTCGGTAACTATATAGAGAAATATCTCGCATGACATCCTCAATTTGTCAAATGTTTTTGAATATTTTGACCAAGTTCTCCGTGGGACGATCAGCTGGAATTCTACACCTGAAAAACCTTCTCGAATATCTTGTTCAACTAGTCAAGGCAACATACACAAATGCGAAAACACTCACCACCACAACGACTGGAAATAGATGCGTTTGACATCGGCTTCCGCGTTTAGTCCCCTATCACAATGATGGAAAGAGTCACAAATCCAAAGCGCACTGACGATATTTAGAATCTAATGTATGCCATTGATATTGCCTAACGGCCACATTAGAACAGAGCGCGACCTGAACGTTTGAAGAATAGAATATCTGACTTGCCGAACATGAGCTCTTGGAAGAAAAAACTATGGAACGCCAGCGAATCTTTCTAACTTATATTCACTGATCGGTGTTCATGATTGCCCGGTGTGCAGCGATGTCACAAATGTTTGAAAATAAATGGTCCATTGACTGATTTCGTTTGCCCTTCTTACATCAATTCACGACAACAAGTAAGACGCAACAATACAACTCAGCGACGCAACAAAACGTCAATGGGTCTAAACACTCACATCGTTTCAATATCTAGGGGGTTTGATTTATTGAATTACTAGAACAGCCGAAGCTGCCGTTCGGGTCCCAATACTTCTGGCATGAAATAAATGGCATCTCTTTATATCTACATTAATGAATCCATAACTCAATGATACATCCCTTCGTTATTACTACTTTTTTGCATACTTGCAACACCGATTGCGAGTCATGTTAAACAAATGAAAACAATACCATTGCAATTGCAAAAATTCATTACCTGGCAACCGTCTCATAAGTCATCCAAAAAAGGTGTAAACGATTTAACGCTGAATGTTGATGCAACTGATCACCTAATTTGACGTCAACTGGCACAAAAAAAGTAATGTCCTACCCATGAACCGTGAATACGGAAGATAAACGAAGACCAATCGATCGAATACGTTAAACCAGGAATATGGAAGATAAACGAAGGACAACCGATCGAAATCGTTCTAGCAAATCCTTGAAAAAATCGAATGTTCTGATACCATCGTTTAAGATATATATGAGCGTGCCCTCATGCGAAGTTGTTTTCTGGAGCTATTGAAAGGGAAATGAATGCAGTAGTATGTCTAATATTCGCGATATTCGATATTCATATTTTGCATTCGATATTTGTTTATTTGATTACGGTTAATTAAATAGAAGTTCATTAGTTTTTATAACTCTAATTAAAAGTGAAATGGATGCGATAGCATGGCTAATATTCGCGATATTTGAATTTCATATTTTGCATTCGATATTTGTTTATTTGATTACGGTTAATTAAATAGAAGTTCATTAGTTTTTATAACTCTTTAATTAAAAGTGAAATGGATGCGATAGCATGGCTAATATTCGCGATATTCGAATTTCATATTTTGCATTTGAAATTTGTTTATTTGATTACGGTTAATTAAATAGAAGTTCATTAGTTTTTATAACTCTTTAATTAAAAGTGAAATGGATGCGATAGCATGGCTAATATTCGCGATATTCGAATTTCATATTTTGCATTTGAAATTTGTTTATTTGATTACGGTTAATTAAATAGAAGTTCATTAGTTTTTATAACTCTTTAAAAATGAAACTCAGTCAGACGCCGAAAATTGAAAAGAAATAAATGAAAAATAATAGGGATTAATAAACATTTTATATGGTAAAGCACTATATCTTGATAGTTTGTCGGAATGTACAAGCAAAAATAAAAAGTGCACCATATGTCATTTTCAGCTAAATAATTGTCAGTATTCAATACAAACAAATGCAAACATCAGACATTAAATGTTGCATAAGTTCGTTTAAATATATGTTTATAGACATTAAATGATTGTGTCCTAGGAAATAATCCAGCTAGGTAGATTGGTGATATGTGAATTAAAGCAATTTTGTATATAAACTATATTAATCACAGGAGCCTGTCTCGCATGTTACATTTGTATAAATAATATATATTGTGATAGATAGTTTTTATTATCTATTATTAATTTATTTTGCAGAATATAAAAAAAAAGTTTTATGGCTCTCCTGAAGCTTTTGTGGCTGATTTTAAATGGATTTTACATAATTGTGTTGTCTTCAATGGAAGTATGTGTTTTTTCTTTTTTCTAAAGAGCAAAGAATTATAAAAAAAAACATATTAAACATAATTTTAACAAAAGCTTGTTACAAAATTACTGTTTTTAAAACTTCATTGATTAATAATTAATAATTGGACATCTGTCAGTTTTTTTATTGTCCTAATAATTTTTTTCATGAAGTATCTAATCATAGCAACGTTTGACAAATGTAGTGTGAGTGGTGACTAGTAATTCAAGTTTATTTATCTGCTAAGATTATTAAGGAATAAAATTCAAAATGTTTGAAATTTTGTATATTTTATTCAAATAAATTATGGCTATATTTATTGATTTGGAAAAAGTTTAACGGTTGTTTAAAGACTGAGAGTAAATGTATTAAAGCTGAGCATTTCTTACTTGAATTGAAAAACATTTTGAAAGACAAATGTTTCATGAACATTTCGATAGTAAAGCTAACATCTTTTTATCGTTTCATGTTTTCTTCATGAATATAAGCTTTTGTTTTTTACTATTTAATAGCCTAATAGTTAAATTTACAAATTTTCATAGAAAACCATTCTTTGACCACTGTTGCTAAAACTATTGTAAAAATGTGCTGTCATGAGGTATGATTTTTTTTCTTTGTGTATGTCTTCATTGTGCAGAATAAATAAAAAATAATGAATCATTAAATAAATAAATAAATATTTTAAATAAATAAATGACATAAATAAACAACCTAAATAAATGCATGTATACCAATCAATATATCAATCTTCGTTTAGCGTCCAGAGACCCAGTTTCCCTAGGTAGGACGTTGTTTTCTTTGCCATCAACTTTTTGCGCCAAATTAGACGATCAGTTGTATCTATTTCGTTTAAATTTAGAGCTTTTATGTCTTGCTCGATTGATTGCGACCAGGACTTCTTTGGACGGCCTTTGGGACGTGTGCCAGGAACTTCAACATCTGCAAGAGAAGTTATGGGACTGTTTCCACTTTGTTTGACATGACCAAACCATCGCAGATGGTGTTGCCGGCATTCGTCCTTTATATCATCTAAACCAGCACAACGCAGGTAGATTTGATGTGGTCTTTCAGACTAATTCGTTGCATCCATCGGAGCATTTTCATATCGGTTCGTTGAAGTTGTTGTTCCAGTTTGGTTGTCATTGGCCATGTTTCTGCACCATATAACAAGACCGGACGTATCACAGATTTATAAAGTCTTGATCGTAGTGGTAGTGGGATGTCACGTCGCATCAATATAGGGACAAGAAGATGCTATTTATTCCAGGCTGCACATATGGGTGCTCGTACGGCAGCTTCAGCTGTTCTAGTACATTTCAGAACATCCCCTAGATATTGAAACGATGTGACTTTCTCTACCTTATTGGTTTCAAAAACATTGCTATTTCGAAGTTGTCGTTGTGGATTGATGCAAGCAGGACAAACGAAATTGGAGACTTTAGATAAATTACCAATTATTTTTGAAAAACGTTTGTGACACCACTGGTTACACTGCTGACACTTGACTGAATTGTTACCTACACCAGCTTTACAAACTGAACAGGGCCATCGTCCAGTAGCTGTGGATTGGATGGGTTTACCAGTGTTCATTGCTTTGGTTTTGCTGATGTTGACTTTGAATCCATGATCGGCGAGTCTGGTGTTCCAATTTTCAAACATCTGTGCTGCATTCTGCTCAGACGTGGCTGTTAAAACGATATCATCAGCATATATTAGATTCCAAATGTCACCAGTGCGTATCGGTTTTGTGATTTTTTCCAACACAGTTATAAATAACAGTGGACTGAGAATCGAGCCTTGGTGAACTCCAACGCCGATGTCAAATGCATCTGTGTTTCCAACCGTTGTTCTGACTAGAGTCTTAGTATTCGTATACATTTCCATCACAAGTCGAACAAGATATTCTGGAATGAGTTGTCTACGTAGACTCCACCTGATTTCTTCACGGGGAACTCGATCAAATGCACGTCAACATGACTCATATGTCGGGATTACTACTACCTTCCTGACTAGAAGGCCTACGATGCATAAACAGAGTGGTGCTATCAAATCTCATTTAGACTCAACACATTAAATCACTATTAGCCGTGAAATCCTCGACAGCAACACCAAAGTAATATACCAGAACAGCAACTACACGCATCTTAAAATTGCAGAAGCAGTCCTAATTGACATCAATAAACTAAAAATAAATATACAACAAAAAATGACAACCTCACTCCCAACCCGGCGCTTATTCAACAATGAAAACAAAGAACTAATAAAAACTAGCATTGTAAATAGTGATTAAGAAGAATTTATATTTCCTTATATATATATATAATATCATTAGTATTCGAAGGTTACTCTCATATTTTAACTTAATTAATATTTAATTTATTAATTCAACTGCTCATTTACTTAAATTTCACTTATTATTTATTTCAAATTTTGCATTTCTGACTATGTGTTTTTGATCTAATAGGCTCAGACGATGGTTAACTCCGAAACAGTACTGTCAGCCAAGCTTAATAATAATTTTCCTCTCAATAAATATGAATTCAAAAAACTCAGAAGTGTTGAGGTTTTAATAAAAAAAGATTATAAACGCACGCTGGGCAACCATTTTTAATGACATTTGTATTAAAGAGAGCCTCGTTCCTAAATATATATAAAAAAATATATATATATATATATATATATATATATGTATGTGTGTGTGTGTGTGTGTGTGTGTGTTTGTTTGTTTGTGTGTGTGTGTGTGTGTGTGTGTGTGTGTGTGTGTGTGTGTATGGATGTATATATATTTAGGTATTATTCTATTAGTTTAAATACAACAAAAAGCTTTTTTCGGCAAAATTGTCATCATTTGTTTTGTTTTGTGCAGATTTCCGGCGTTTCAGCACAAATTGGCTATCTTTACGCCTTGTCTCCTCTTAATTTTCTTTGTTCTTAATATGGCTGTACCTGTTGTTTCATTCACAATCAATTTTACCCCTCTATCTGCTTTTTCGTTCCCGCATATGCCTATATGACTTGGAATCTATACCAATTTTATTTTAGACTATCATAAATACAATTATTTATAAAGATCACTGCGTTTTCGGCATTATTCAACTTGTAGTTGAGTTTTTCAAATTTTCAAACGAGACTTTTGTTGGGTTTAGACTATCATAAATACAATTATTTATAAAGATCACTGCGTTTTCGGCATTATTCAACTTGTAGTTGAGTTTCTCAATTTTTCTAACGAGACTGTTATTGGGTTTAGACTATCATAAAAACAATTATTTATAAAGATCACTGCGTGTTCGGCATTATTCAACTTGTAGTTGAGTTTTTCAAATTTTCAAACGAGATTTTTATTGGGTTTAGACTATCATAAATACAATTATTTATAAAGATTGGCATCAATTTTTCTAACGAGACTTCTAAAGTTTAAAAATTGAGAAACTAACTACAAGTTTAAAAATTGAGAAACTCAACTACAAGTTGATTAATGCCGAAAACGCAGTGAATAAATATATATATATATATATATATATATATATATATATATATATATATATATATATATAAATATATATGAAATTTATATGAAAACAAAATATATATATATATATATATATATACATATATATATATATAGGGTTAAGACTGTCAGAAATGCAATTATTGATGAAAATCACAGCATGTTCGACGTTAGTTAACTTCCTGTTAGTTTAACTTTTCGCTTTTTCTAACGATAAATCGTAAATCATTAACAAGTTTCTTGAGTTCAAAACCAAAATTATTGTTTATTTTATACAAACAAAGCTTTTTTCGGTATTCCTATACCGTCTACCATCTTCCTATACCGTGTTCGAATGGATAAGCTGTGTATGTGGCCAGGTGCTCAAATATATATATAGAGTAGAGACACAGTATATATATATTTAAGCATCTGGCCACATACACAACGTATCAATTTGAACACCGAAGATAGTATTGGACAATAACAACAACACACGTTTAGAAGACATTTTCCCCGAGATCGGAGGTTGCTGTTTGGCTACCTATGATGAAACCGAAATATCCCTTTTGTCATCAAAAATATTTTATTGGTTAATTTTTACGCAGGACGCCCTTCCTTACGCAACCACAGTTATAAGCGGTGGGCCTAGCCTTTGATGATCCAACATCATTCACAAGGCTATGAGGGTCAGTTCAATGTCATAACCAGGACACGAAGATAGTATAGGAATACCGAAAAAAGCTTTTTTGTTTTATCATGCATGAAATAACAAAAAATTTTTCATCTTTGTTGTTGCCGTTTCTTTGTCCTTCATTGTTATTGAAGGTAATATTAAGGCGTAGAGTTGGTAATGATGCAATCATTCTTTCTTGGTTGTTTATTTGAGGTTTATTGATATCTATTAGGACAGCTTTTGCAATTTTTAGATGTATTGTGTTGGTGTTTTGATAAATTATTTTTGTGTTGTCAAAAATTTGACGGGTTTGGTCCTTTATAATATGAATATTAAAACTACGCGAAAAACCGCTATAGCGTTTTTAAGAGGATGCCGGTTTTCGCAGTTTACAATCGTGCGAATTCGTGCGATGCAGTTTTTTGAAAAAATAAAACCGCGGTTACCACAAGATGTTGAAATTTTATGGAGTTTGAAATTTGTCTTCCAAAAATTTGCTTATCAATGTTTTTCATCAGTTTAGTGTTTTTGGATGCTTTTGTAACCAATCTTTCCTTTTACTGCATGTTTTATTATCTAAGTTCATTGTCAACAAAGATCAACAAAGAAATAAAAACAACAAAAATGAAGAATACGACACCAACTTATAAATTTTACTAAAGAACTAACTGCTTTGTTAAAAGAAACTATATAAACCAAACCAGACCTGCACTGAAGAGGATTTTTGAAAAATCGAAATATGGCGTTATCTGCATGATGAATTTAAATAACAATAGTTAATTAAAATTTCGGGATTAACATGGATAATAATTCTATTTTCATTAAATTTAACCATTTCCAGCAAAATTCTAATAAGGAAAACTGAAAAGACAAACTTGAAATTGATTAATATAACAATTTGGTAGAATCCATACAATACTCTATATATATTTTTTATATGTGTTTGTCTGTGTATAGTGCTACAAAATAACTTTGTGCTGCAAATGCTTTACAATCCACATTTTATTAATCATTTGACATCACACTTGTTTTATATATGCACTTTTACCATTTACACTTATTTGCCAACCAGCTCACTTCGAAAACTTTTTTTATCATTTTATTTAAAATATATTTCAGGTCAATGAATTATTAATATGTCCTGATTGTTATCTAAATTCCTGCATAAAAGATAGCGATGATTGGTTTTGTGAACCTTGTGTAAGTTTGTAATTTTTTTCATGCAGCTTAGATGTTTATTCAATTAATTTTACGTAACTGCTGAGCCAATTTTTTCCTGATTAATGATTAATATTTTTTGTAAAATTGTAAAAGTTATTTGATTTTTTTGTAATATTTTTGTTTAAATATAAAATGTTTTTTTATTTTTTAAATTTTGTTTACATTACTCTAGTTTAAAAAAATCAATTAGTGCAAAAAATGTACAATGAGTATTTAATTGAATAATTTTAAGCTTGAAAATTTTCCGTTTTCTAGTTTTAAAATTATACAATTTGTTTATTAATAAAGTCGATAATATAGTCGATAATAAATAATCTGTCGTTTAATGCCATGTTTGCATTCTTATGCCATGTCTAGCCGTTGATTTTTTTATGACATCCTTTCCTCCTTGTCAGTCTCATGTAGTCTTTTCCATTGTCATTTTTTGGCATTCAGTTTTTGATTTCATTAGTGTCAGTCTGTCGTTTATTCAAATTGTCTTGCAAGCAATCTATCCTTCTTTTGAGTTTGCCTGTTTTTCTCGTACCTTATAGTATGTAATCGTTTGTAATCTCTAAGGTAATTTATTTTGTTGCATGTTTTTTTTCTTTATAGTTTCTTTTTTCTATATTTTCTTGTTTGATATTTGTTACAATTTCGTCCACTGTATTTTAGATCTTTTTTAAAAATGTTTTTAAAATGTCTTTGTCAACTTTTCTTACCCCTTCATCTGATAGAATATTTTCGTTACTGTTTGCAACTGGTTCTAACTAACTCAATCTGTTTTACAGATGTCACTTTATATATTCTTTTTGATGTGAACTTTTTTACTGTATCCATCTTTTGGGCTACACTTTGTCAGCTTCTTTATTTGTAATTTCAATGTTGCTGATTCTTTTCTCTATCGATTTGCTTTTAGCTTTTCCGCACTGTTTTAAGTTTTAATTTTGCCTCTAGTTTTGTTTGTCAATAATTTTTTTTATACTTTTGAGTATATTTATTATTTTTTCAATTTATTTGCTTTTATGTTTTTATGTTTTTTTTTGTTTTATCGCTTTCCCAGTTTTTCTTTCGCTACTGCTGTTTTAAATATTTCAATTCTGTTTCAGCATTCATGTCTTATTTATCTTCCGTAAAGCATAAATTTTGTTTTTAATTTTGTTTTTATGTGAAATGGATATATTTTGTTCAATAGAGAATACCACACACATTGGTTTGGGCCAAGATGAAGGGATATCCTTACTGGCCTGCAAAAGTAAAATAACATTTTACTTTTTAAAATAAAAAACTAAATAGTAATCGAATGATATTTTTTGCAAAATTGTAACTAATGAAAAACTGATGAATAATAATAAAAAATAAATAAATTGACTATATTAAGTAGAGTTTTCATAAACTTCAAATGTGTTGAGATGTAACAGCCTTGTTAGAAAAACTATAAGTAAATGAACTATGTAAAACAAACTATTATGCCAGTTATTACGACAATGAAAAGTTTATGTTTTTAAAATTATAATTCGTTATTTTAACGACTTAAAAATATTTTCACTTCACACTTTTCTGTAATCTTATTTCTCCATCCTCAATTGGTCTACTTTGTGGGTTTTAATAAACAAACATCTAAAGAACATTTCATGTAACAGAAAATTGGCAGTAAATTTTCACAAAAAAATTTTATCATTTTATTCATACATCATTTTGCTATTTACAGTTGAGTAATAAGTCTAAACTTTACTCAATTTTTGTAAATTTTTAAAAATATTTTTTCAAAATTCAAAAATTCGTTTTTTTCAATCAAATTTTTTATACTCTCGCAAAATTTAGATTATTTTTTAATAAATACAGTTTAAAATTTGTTCTTTTAAGGTTTTAAGAGAAGATAACAATGGTCAGGTCGATGTTCGCTTTTTTGGGGAACATGACAGGTATTTTTCTTTATCAAATTTTAGCCAACGGACAATGCTTTCAACTCTCGTTTTTTGATGATAATATTCTAAAAAATATTAAAAATGTCTTTTTTTCAGGATATTTTTCACGTTTTTTAGCAAAAGTTTTTGACTTTGAAGTTTTTAAATATCTACAATAGACCATGCACTGGACGTAGTCACTGAGTTAGTTCAGTCGCTAGAAGTGCCATTTCTCGCGTTGCTATTGGCATGGTTCGAATACTCTACGTCCGAAACTCGAAGACCATCATGTGCGTATGATGCGGTGTTTGCGCATGCATGCATAATATGTATGAGCGTCGTGTGGTGTAAATGTTTATATGTCTGTGACATGAAAGTTTAATTACATGTTTAGAATGACATGTAAGAAGCTCTGCGTTCTACAGAGCTGCATTATAAAAAATAAAAAAATAGTGAAGTATACAGATGTTGAGTTTGGACTGGCGTTTATTACCTTTTTTTATGTTGTAAACAATAAAAATCTAACAAATGAGATCTTATCTTAGATTTTTTATTAGTCATAAGAACCCACGCAATATCTATCATTTTTCTGCCCTCAAAGGGGTGAATACCAACTGTCAACAGGTCTTTATGAATATTTTGCAGACGAAAAACAAAGGTCTTGCAAAGTTGCTACAAGAGTTAACTTAAAAAGGGGAGAGCGATATTTGTTATAATAATGAAGAATTATCTTCTACAAAACAAGCTAATGTCCTTATAGAAAAACCAACTAGTAGAACCTCGCTTTCCTTCACCCAGTAATGAAAATGGTTAACATGTTTCAGAATAGGATATTCAGGCAATTATTGTTCCATCCATTTAATCTGAGTTGAACAGATATAAAAAATATTGCTTTCAATATACAGAAAACTTATTTTCAATGCACAAAATCTAGATTTAAAAATTGTAATAATAGCAATAGCGGTAGTAGCAATAATAAAAATAATATCAAAAATGGACAAAAAAATCCAAAAAACTGAAATTCGGGGCGAAATAAGTCGGGATTAAATAAGATTAAGTGTAGTGAATGGGATCAAATGTAACAATCTTATGTGTATATTTTAAGCTAGTACTGTGTACACCTTCTCTTCATCTTAACTGTATTGAAGTAAATCTGGAATCAATCAGCTCCAACTGATGTTCCTCCGACGTTTGCGCTATTACATCCTACGGTTAAGATCTTGGGAAGACATTTTTACTCCAGTGTATGTTACATTTTATTTCCTGTTGAAACAAATGGTCAACAAATGTATCTCGCATGGTGTTTACTTATTGGATCAGTTAAGTCAGAATTTCCGAAACTCTGATGTAACGATTAAAATTTTTCTTCTATTTCACTCTACATATTTGTGTGAGACTGGACAAATTACAGAAACTTTGAACGTTCTTTTGCTGTAATTTTGGAGCATAGTATTGTCTTTAAATGAACCGCGGCTCGAGCAACTAAAATATAAGAAAGAAGCTCTGGGTACACCATTTACGCCGAAAGTTTTGACCGATTACGATTAAACCTGTTTGCCTCTCAGTTAAAGGTTACTCTCTCTCTTTTGCGTTTGCTTCAGAGGTTTCAACGACAAACACATACAGCATATATGAATACGCGTGAAAACCACGCATCATACACATTGCATATGATAGGCGGGATCTCTTTGTATTCAAACCAGTCATTCTAATAGCAAGACCAGACGCCTTTAGCTATTGAGCCATCACGCCGCCCTTAGTCTTAATGTTATTTAACCTTTTCGCCTACATTTTTCGAATAAGTGAATTACCAAGTTAAAATAATTTTATAATTGAACCATTCAATTGAAATATGCATCAAACCTTTGTATATCTTATCAAGGTGCTAACTGCTAACATGAATGTTAAATAAATTGAAATTAAAAAACTTGAAATGAACGCTTTGAACTAAAAGCGAAAAATGATTTTTTACGTAAATATTACAATATCAGTCTGAAAACATGACAAAAAATGAAGTGTGGATCCTAAATTTACATTTTAATCATTTTATTCATGAAGAATATTTATTTTAGTGGTCTACACTTTCATTTTCCGTAACATATTTAAACAGTGATTTTAATATTTACTTGAAAAAATTATTATTTCATTTTTCAGTTCATTTAAATAAATACTGTTCTTTAAGATTTTTTTTATTTCTGACCATTTAGTTAAGTGCTATAAAAAAGTACAGGGTTAACCAATCGCAAATACTATCTTCGATATTAACGAGCTTTTGAAAAATAATTTTTATTTACTAATTGAAATATGCATCAAACCTTTACTTTATAATTATACTAAATTTATATAATAAAAAATTTGCCGACAACCATCATTATGGTCATTATCATAAATCGCGGACACCACAGACATTGGTGAAGTAAAATGAAAGTGCTTAAAAACCACTGAAAAAGTGAATTGTTTAACAATTATAATAATGAATGTGCCAGCATTTCAATTTAACAAATCGTTTTAAGCATTTTTCTTCTATGAAGCTATCTTGAAATTTTACGAAGAGATGGTTTATAATCATTATTTTTTATTATTTTTTCGGTTTTTTCTGGACCTGTTGAATGATATTTTTATACATTACATTTAATACAAATTTCAAACGATGTTTTTACGTGATCATATCAATGTTACTATATGTTGATTATAAGTTTGCTGATAAGTTTTCAACTGTTAGGGCTTGGGTGCCGTTGAATCAAGTCTTCCTGTTGTCTATAAACCCTCCTAGCCTTGTACCTAAAAAAACCAAAGGTTATGACGAAGCAAAAGTTGAATTGATCAGACACGTTCAGTTACTCAGGTTTGTTTTTTTATTTATTCATCATTATTGTTGATATCTAACTTGTGCGATTTCATTTTGACAACTCTCTCTCCCAACAATTGGAATTTCAAAGAAATATGTTACGCACGTAAAATTTGAACGTTTTTATAATCTGGGAATGTTAGCTGCTAAAAAATATAATAATGTATTTGAAAATAAATAGCGCAGTGGAAATAATAAAATTAATCTGGTGTCGTTATCGCATTTTTTTCATTGGTGTTTGTATAGAAGCGCTGAGCACTGAATTGCGAATGTTTTTTTCCTAGTTTCCGGTATCATTTGACTATTACATTTTTTAAATAGCTCCTGTAATGTTGAAAAGCTTTTATTCTCTTAATGGTCCATTGCGTTTATGCTGGTTTTGATCGCTATTGATGGCCAATTCTGGATAATTTTCACATGCTTGGAATAAACTAAAAAACACTTCAGTTAATTGCAATCAAGTTTGGGTTCTATATAATTACTTCACGGAATTTCAAATTTTCTGAATCAATTTCTAATTTTAGACTGAGTTGACAGAAAATGTCTAAATTCCGACTATATTGCTCTTTTTTTTTAAAAAATCAAACCCTTGAAAAACACAGAGATTGGTACGCTGATATTGCCGAGTTAGTCAAATCATAAAATTGGTCAGACCAGATAAAATTCACCAGCTGTAAGTTAAAATGTTTAAAAAAGCCTAGTGGGGAGATTTCAAATGTGTTGATAATAATTTTGAGGCCTTTCTTCTCGTCGACCAAATTGTTGTGGATGTTCTGGTATTTAGATATTTTGTGGTTCCTTAATGTGGTGAAGTTGAATTCGTGACAGACTGTCAATTCTAATATTTCGATCGTATCACCTCGTAGGAGTGCTATATCGGGCCGCAGTGATTTGAAAAGGGACGATACTGAGACAAAATCGTCGTTAGTCGTATCGGCAAAAATTGTAACGTCTGATTTAGCAACTGATCCAATCTTCTCTAGAATCAAAGACAATATTTTATTATGACGTGTTGTATATCTTTTTAAAGCTGCAACGGAACCACAATTTGACAAAATGTGCTTGTTTGTCTGCAATGCGTTAGAGAGGACACAATGCGTTTGAGGACTTACCCCGTCTAGAGAGATTGGCACTTGTAGGAAGTTGTTGAATAAGGCGTGTCAAATTTTAACAAGTTTTTTTGAAAAAAAACAGAGCATGTTTCCGTTGGTATCTTTCAATTTTGAATGGATGCACCTAAGCTTGGTAAATTTTGAGTGAAAGTTATACAAATATAGTACATTATTCACGGGAGAGCGGGTAACATGACTTTAAGTTGAATGTACCCCCATTGTTAGTTATGCTATAAATCATGAAAAATTCATAAAGCAGCATTTGTCAAGCTTTAAGTGCATCTCTTTAATCAGATTCTGCAGTTTCACCTAATATTGTATGTTGTAAAATTAGACTACAATTAACGCACATAAAATGTTGTAAACTTGTTTTTAAGTTTTTTAGATATTGCAATAAATTAAAGAACTACTATTATTGTTATTTTGATTCTGATTATGGCTGCATCATTTAGAACCAGAGGAAAGACCTCCACTCATCTTAGTCACTACGTGGGGTCTGGCATGGAGATCCTCACCTCAGATTTACTAACTGTGAGAGATTTATTAAGATATGGTATTCTGCTAAGGCAGTTGAGCGAGAAGGACAAGAAAAATTATACCAAAAAAAAACTAGCCAAAGAGATTATGACTGCCCTTTTTGATCAGTAGACCAAAGCAAATTCTGTGTTTAAATATCTTGTTGTCATTCATAAAGTAACAATCCAGGAAATAGTCGTTAATTTGTGGAATAAAGCTTCTGATGTGTCACTTTGTAGGGGAACGCTTGACAAAAGAGAAAAGTTTACCGAAGGTCTTGTCAAACTCTTTGACATTCTTCATTGTAAATGTCTAATTCTTCTGTGCTCTGAATATGGATGTAATAATTCTGAATGTTTTCAAAAGGTACACAAAAATTGTAATTGCGCAAGAGATAAGAAGATTCCAGTGATCGAATTGATGTTTATTAAAGCGCAGAGAGCTGAGCAAGGAAGCATCAGCACTCACATGATTGCGAACAAAGATGTGCCAGAGATAAGAAGGCAAGAAGCTTCTGCTTCAGAGACAAGAAAGCAGAAGCCCTTCTGAGAAGAAAAGAGTTGGGAAACTAGAAGAAAATGCCAGTTTATTTTTAGTGAGGACAGTGATGACTCTGAGAAATCTGAATCAAATGTAGAGAACAAAGTTTAAAAGAAGAACAGTGAGATGACTGAAGTGTACAATACTCAGGATATAAGAAGCATTGCACTAACCAGTATTAGACATCACACTGGATTAGGAGGGGCAGCTGATATAGCAACTGCTGCTTGAATTGATGCTGGCTTCATCTTATAATTGATCATAATAAAGTTAAAAGGGTTCAGCAAAAGTTGATCAAAGAATTCAATGATAAGTTTAAAAGTGAAATAAAAGAGCATGCCATCAGCTGTTTACTCTTTGGTGGAAGAAGGAATGACACCAAGGTGATGCTTGACCTTGTTGGTTCTTTCAAGAAATTTTCAGGTATGGTATAGGAGGAGCACTATTCAATATGCAGTGAACAAGGAGGAAAATATTTGTGGTATTATGTTCCTGGGAAACCTACTGAGAAGTCTCTGGCAGATTGGCTGTAAACTTTGACCATCGGGAAACACCCGTTGCTGGGACGTGATCCCTGGCATTTTAGTGAGGGAAGATGTGCGAGATTAGATTCTTGTTGAGCTGTCGATAGCTTTTTAAGTGTTGGTTTTACATCAGCTAAATCAGGAAGGATGCCGTCAACTTTGATTAAACTGTTGTGAGATTCCGTCCATAAACATTTTATTTCATTGTTGACGTGCGATTTCAGGTAGTTACGGAGTTTGACCCTCAACCTTTCAGTGTAATGTTTAAGTGATTTCAAGTTTAATCCTCCTAATTTATAAGGGAGTGAGATGTACTCCGACACACAGCTGCTAACTGGCAAGGATAACCAATCTCTCACCGATTCTGTAATTTTTCACTGTGGTGTAGTATCCAAATTATTTATGATAGACAACATTTGCTTGTATCAGGCGTTTTTTCGCTTCAACATTGCATCCTTCATAATCATATATTTTTCCTAGGTAGAAGCTTCAATCGGCGGAATTGGTTTATCGTCGATGGTCAGCCTGGGAGATAATTGTTCATATCTACCATTTCTTTTCCTCATGCCAAATGAATTACACTTGTCAATTCTCATGCGCATTCCAGTTGCGCTACACCAGGCTTAGTTCAAATCGATCAATTTTTGGTCACTGTCAGTGCTATTCGCTATGATAGCAGTGTCATCGGCAAATTGAAGCCAAGCTCTGGAGTGTAGATTGGCTGTGGGCTCCCATATATAACCGCACTGTTGAAATTCGTCCCTTTCAATCAGTCTCATCAGTGGGCTAAAGCATAAATTGAAAAGTAATTGGGAGACGGGATCATCTTGGAGAACTCTTCATCTAACCTGCAATGAGTTAAACTTTCACAGCCAGAAACGGTGATTGAATAATCGCTGTAGATATATTCAATTAGCTTTATTATCTGAGACGAGATGTGATGGCGGTTGAGAGTAGACGAAATAAGGTTGTGGCTAACTCCCCCAAATGCGTTGCGGTGATCCAATAATGCAATGATGATAGTCCGTTGGTGTCTCTTTGCATCTTTAATCAATCGATCAATCAATCTTCGTTTAGCGTTCAGAGACCCAGTTTCCCGAAGTAGGACGTTGTTTTCTTTGCCATCAATTTTTTGCGCCAAATTAGACGAACAGTTGTATCCATTTTTTTTAAATTTAGAGCTTTCATGTCTTGCTCGATTGACTGCGACCAGGACTTTTTTGGACGGCCTTTGCGACGTGTGCCAGGTACTTCAACATCTGCAAGAGAAGTTATGGGACTGTTTCCACTTTGTTTGACATGACCAAACCACCGCAGATGGTGTTGCCGGCATTCATCCTTTATATCATCTAAACCAGCACGACGCAGGATTTCGGATTTCTTTGCACCTTTAATCATGTGGGTTAACATTTGGGTGTGTTCAGTTAGACCATTAACTTTCAAATAAAATCGTTTTTGGATATTTTTGTTTATTAGTTTGTTGGTTTCCAGATAGCGATATATTCTATTGTTTATTAGTGATGAGAATATCTTGTAGAGTGTTGACTGTAAAGTTGTTATACGAAAATTTGATGGATTGTCTGTTGAGTGGCGTTTGTTGAAGAAGACTATTGCATGGCATTTGTTGAAGTAGACTGTTGCATGACGTTTGTTGAAGAAGATTGTTGCATGGTGATTGTTGAAGTAGACTGTTGCATGACGTTTGTTGAAGAAGATTGTTGCATGGTGATTGTTGAAGTAGACTGTTGCGTGGCGTTTGTTGAAGTAGACTGTTGTATAGCGTTTTTTAAAGGAAATTGTTGCGTGACGTTTGCTGAATGAGAATGTTGCCTGTCTTTTGGCAGTGTTGACTGCGAATGTGATGCCGAATTCGCAGTTTCCTTGTCGTTTCCTTGTCGTTTCCTTTTTCCTCCGACAATTTGAGTCTTTTGTGAATGGCACATGACCGCTGGTGCATTTTCAGACCCTTGCGTCCCTTGCATAATTTACCACAGCAACATTTAATTAAGTTATTATTATTATCAGTATTTATTGAATAATTATTAAGAGAATTCGAATTAAAAATGCTGGCAGAGATATTAACGTTAGTATCTGCAGGCGAATGTACAACGTTACTATTGAGATTTGCTGTATTTTTCGCGCAACGCCAGGAGTGCCAGCACTTTCAAACGATATATTACAATATGGATATGTAGTTGAATAAACTAGTGAAATGTTGTTTAAAATTAAAATAAGATAAATAACGAGGTAAAATTCGAATTTTAAAAATGACGACATATTCCAGACAACTCAGTAAATGTATCAAACTAATTTAAGACTAATTTAAAAAAGCTCAAATAAAACATAAACAAATAACATCTTTTGACAATTTTTCAACTAGTTTAAATTATTTACAACTTATTGAAGAGTTACATTGATTATAAGCATTATATTACTCAGTCATTCTCTGTCAACTTTAACAATTTCAAAAATTGTTCACGTCCGACCATTTTCGATTTCTTAAAGTTCCAACAGTAAGTACCTCAATATATTTTATCGACAAAATAAAATTTTATAAAAATAATAAAATTTTATAAAAATAATAAATTTTTTTTAAGTTATGAAGATTTTTGTGAGACCACCCCCATTTTTAGTGTTTTTTGTTCAAAACTTCCACGCCACATCTTTCAAACTAGCCAATATTTGTTAATGATTTTTTTTTACTTTATAATGAAACAGAATCAATAAAAATTATTGCCCTAAATCAAAAGATATTTTGCACACAAAAAATTGTATTTTTTGAAAATTTTCACGCTTTCGAAGATTCATAGCTCAAAATCAAAATTAAATAATTTTTTGTGCTATTAGTTTTTAAAATGTCAAAAAATTGAGAACTTGTTTTGTTTAGCGCCATTTTTAATTATAACAAATTTTTTCAATTTTTTTTGTTTTGTATAGTGCTTTTATAACTTAACAACATATCAAAAAACAAGCGTCAATTTTTTTTTATTTTTTAAACTTAAAATTATTATGCAACTTGTTAACAAGTCAATGAAAGTATGCTCCGATGGCACTCAAGTAATTTCTTTAGTCTAGCACTACAATCACTACTTCTAGTTGTCGCGAGTTCGATCAGACCTCTGTGGCTTTGGCTTTTCTGTGTGTGTGTGTGTGTGTGTGTGTGTGTGTGTGTGTGTGTGTGTGTGTAATGTACGTATGGCTTTGGCTTTTCTGTGTTTGTTTGTGTTTGTTTCCTACCTCGGGAAACTGGGTCTCTGGACGCTAAACGAAGATTGATTGATTGATTGATTGTGTGTGCGATTTTTTTTTATATCCAACCGAATTTTAATTTTTTTGACAATCATATTGTGCAAAATAGTTAAAAAGGTTAACATGCTAATCAGACATTCTGCATTAGTTTCACTTCTGACAAATTTAATTGTTAATACAAACGAAGCAATTTCGAAGAAATGTGTATTGATTATTTTATTAGGTTAAAAATATTTTAGCTGAAGTTAATTTTATTTGGTATTACAATTTGTTAATCTAACCCAAACAACCATGTCTTTAATCTTGACAAACTGTGGTTAACTTTGTTCAAAAATTTTTCTTTTTAATATTGTATTTTACTTTGCCAGGGAGAAAAGTCATGATTTTACGTATGCTCCTGATAAAATTGCTTACGAGTCTAAGATGTCTTCCTCGCTAATAGAATCGGGTAGTTGTGCAAATACAATAAAAGAAATGCCACTGTCTAGTGATATTCAAATCAACGTTAATAAACCAGATCTGAATGTTATAAACACTGTCGATAATATGAAGAAGAAAAAAACAAATAAATATCAGCTAAAAAGAAGGTTGTCATCGCGATTAAATAATACAAAGCAGATTACAAAATTCGATGGTGATGATAAAGTTTCAAGTATTAAATGTCCTAAACAAAACGATCATGCCGACGAAAGTAATGGTAAATACGAAAAAATAGTTTTAAAAATTAACAAAATGCATATATTGCCTATGAAAAATAATGAGGATAATTCTGAATATACCATTAATAATGATTTTGATATGCTTCTAACAAGTGGGGAGTGCCAAAATTTGCCTGTTAAAGTAGTTACAGATGACAGTTGTGAATTGAACAATAAATTACTTTCCGCACCTGAGTTAATGCTTAGCAAAACATCGGACAAACTCTATTCTGATTCTTCAATCGACGATGTCGCTGTTTCGTCTATGAACGGTAACCAAACTATATTCATAAATCTGACGGTATTATAAATATTAGATATCTGTTTTGATATTTTTTTCAGAAAATGTTGAATTATATAATGAATCTCTAAAAACTCCAAATAATTTGGTTATATCTTCAGATGATATTGCTGTTTTTGGCAAAATTGATATTGATTTTTCAAAATATCATATAAAGGTATAATTGGTTGAAGTTTGATTCAATTAATAAAATAATTAATTCAATGTAACCGAACTAAAGTTTCCCATCTCAATGCCTTTTCTGGTGGCAGTTTAAAACGGTGGGCCTGGCTCATGGCAGCAATGTGGATGCAAATTTTCTTTTTAATTTAACTCCCGTAGTCTATACTCTTGAATGGGTAACGGAGGTTTATAATTAGAGTTCTTCTAGATAACTTTCTATCCCTTGCTGATGTGGTGTATCTGCCTGAAATAACCAGTTAAGGCGCCGGTTATTCGCTTCGCTCTCTCTCTCCTGTAAGTAAAAAAGGTTTTTGTCGGGTTTAAACGATGAACCACGCGTGAATGGCAGGAGCTGGACTTGATGGTTTGAAGCTGTGTTTTGCGCTTTTTTTATGTTTATTTATAAGCAGCTCAGTCAAACGCTGAGCGGCTTACATGTTATTCTACACTTATAATTAAACCTTTGTGCCATATGGTTGTACCATCCACACCACACGATTCTCATTATGTATGCACTCTTAACCACCGCATCATACGTGTATGATGATCTTTGAGTTTTGGACAGACAGTATTTGAACCATGTCAGCAGCGTGAGACATGGCACTTCTACCGACTAGCTAAGTGACTTTACCATCCGTTTTTATGTTGTTGAAATCAATCACTTTTGTTTCTCTTACTTGAATCAGTCTGCGACATTATGTACTTTGGGACAATACAATCAGTATCAAAACAGTCACGTTATTTTCACATCTGGGGAATGTGTCAGACTGTACTGGCTTCTATACTAATGCGACGAGTTTTCCCACTACTTCAACGTTCAGCAGGCAACTTTTTTACTTCAGAACCGGGAAAATAGGCAATAAATGAAGATTGATAAAATTAATTTCAGTAATTTAATAAATAAAAAAAAATTAATTAATCGAACCATGACAGCAGCGCGAGTTAACTCAGTCGGTAAAACATAAAACAAAATTTACAATTTTTAGAATATTTCTTATTTGCACACAGTTTTAGATTTTAAATATAAATTATTGATTATATAATCAGTGCTTACTTAAACCTTTCTGTTCTAAGATTTTAATTTTGAGTTGTTGACGGTGTGATTTTTATATATCGTTCTACGTATGAAACAACTATGTTTTTATTAATATTGTTTTTATGAAAAAATAAAAATTTTAATATTACTGTTATATAGCTTCTAGCTAATATGCAGGAACTTGTATCTGATTTGGTTCAAGATATTGTGAAAAGTTCACCAAATGTAAGTAATTTTAATTCTTACTTTTTGATGAAAGTCAGTTCTTGTTATCCGTTAAAAAGCTTATTTAAATCGATATAAAATATATTTAACGGTTAATTCTATTGTCTGAATAATTCTTCAGTCAGTTATCAATAGATTAAAAATAGGACACTCAGCAATCACACATTCCTGGATCCTCAACAAAACAAAGTCACCTTATTATGAAGCCTGCGACAAAAAACTATCTATTCAGCATATATTAACTTAATGTGAAAAATACGATCAGATCCGAAGGAAACTCCGGGTTCCATCAAATGTAGAATTGCTCTTCCAGAATAGAAGTCAGGAAGTCTTGATTTCATTTGTGGAGGAGATAGATTTGATCAACAGAATTTGAAGTTTTCTAGATGTCACAACAAAATAATCAGCTTCTAATGATCCAAGGGCGCCGTTAAGCTGCAAATAAATAATTCTACTGAACATACAGTTTTGCTTAGAAAATTTGAAATCTGAGCTGTCATGGTCAAAGTCTTTAAAATTATCTCCAAAATTAATTATGTTTAAAATCACATACAAACATCCAAGTGTTTTCAGCATAATATTACAAAATGTGCATCTATTTTTGCCAAATTTAACAAAATCAGATGTTTTTCACTCACTGTAAGTTAGTCCAGATTTCAGTGGCAGTCATTAAGGATTGCATTGCATCTATGATTGATCCGATTTGGAGTTGTTATTAGCCATTTTTTAAGTTATTTTTGAAACAAAACTCAATTTATAGATTTTCTGTAGCATCTAATAAATCTAGTGAGTAATAGATCTAATTTTCATTAATTACTCAACCGCTGTTTTTGTAATTTCTAGAGTTTTGAAGAACGCGGATGTTTTCTTTTTTTTTCTAGAATAAAATCCAGAATGATGTATGTTGGGACTGGATCAAGTGATTATGATATTGATATAGAGAATAATATTACCAATTTCATGTCCTTGCTTATTGAATTATCTAAACTACAATCAATTCGTCGGTTTAAATAACGTCCGACATCATAGACGATTTTGAAAAAACAAACTACTGATTGTTTTTGTCGAGATGGAGTAAACATTTCTTTTATTTTTTATTCCTTGCCCGTTATCAATAAAAAAACTTTTTAAAGCGTTTTAGAACTTATCAAGTTTAATGGAATCGACTCCCAATTACTTTTATTTTTCACAGTTTGTGCTTTTTCTATATTTCTAACCTCCATCGATTTTGTCTTAATGTTTTTAATACGACGATAATCTTTTATGACCTAAACTGCGTTTTATTTTATAACAGTCATAATTTGTTGACCATAACCTGATGTTATCCAGTTTGAAGCAGCGGCTGACTGCAATAATTTGAACAATAGAGAAAAACTAGCCTTGTTACTCATCAATTTGATATTCATGATTTCATGTCATGCCAGTATTGACGAAATCATAGACATTCTATCCGGTTCGATTTGAAGAGCGGATACTAACAAGTGGAGAATAAAAAAAAACAGCCACGAGATGACAGCATTTTTATCGGATACTGCTTGTGCTAATATTTTATTACGCATCCTATAAAATCATGAAAAGTTAAGAGATTTAAAGTCTTTTTTTTCAAGAATTAATTTTGTACTTGGGGTTAGGCTAGTGTTTTAAAAATCATTTTATATTTATATTTTTAAATTAGTTCAAGTTAAATTATATTTTAATAACGTATTTTTATGCGTTTTAAAAATAGTTTTTCATCAAACCTTGTTATTCTACATCTGAATTTATGGGTCGTGCCACAGTCGATTTTTTATTTGCAAAATTTATAGACCGTGCGAGAAGTTCAGCATGTAAGTGATGCATTTCAAAATGGAACAAATACACCTGAGTAGAATTTGGATGAATATCTAGTCAGTTTTTACAAACTAATTTAAAATACGCCAGTCAGATTTTATTGAAGTCCTTTTCTTCAAGATGTTTCTCTTATAATTTGAAGTCTTGAGTAATTGAATTGAATGCTGTATTTTAACTTGTACTAAAAATTTTAATATATCTGCTCACATGTTAGTGTGCTGTGTGTTTTTGATTTTTTTAAATTAATCAAGAGAGATTTGTTGATAATATTATATAATGAAGTTACTCGGCACACGAGCAATTAAAGAAAAAAACTTGTGCTCGTTTACAAGCGTGTCCAATTAGAAACCAAACGTTTCTCCTCGAAAAGATGGTAGCAATTACAAAATAAGAGGCAGTTCTCTCAAACACGTCGGTAAAGAAGTAAACGTTTTGGCATTTTCATAATTCATAAGGCATACTTCATACTGTGTTACCAGAAATATCATAGTTTTTTTGGCGATTGTCATTTCCACAAGTATTTTTACGGCAGAAATAACTTTTCCAAACCAATCATGCATTTTAACTAATAAACGAAGTATTGAAGGCTTTTTCTATCTGTTTGATTGATTTAATAAAGGGTTTATAGCTATTGTTTATGAATGGCTTTAGCAAAACGACTAGAATGCGATGGTTGTTGTTGTTGCCCCTCTGTTGACACTTCTCATTTGGTCAGACGGAGTCTGAGCCATTTCGCGATCGCAACCGGATTTTGCCACAGATCTGTTGTGTTGAGCGATGGGTTTTTTGGGCAGCGGAACAGATGAGGTACATCATCCGGATGTGATAAACCGAACACTTAGTATCGTCATTGCTTTTTATTTTGGATCTAACTTTTAAGGATGATGCAGTGGCCAAATCTAAGTTGGACTGGATTTTTCGTTCGGCCCTTGACCGCGTTTATCCTGATCCATCATTTTAGGAATGGAAGGTGACCATCCGTTGATCAACACGCGTGCTTGATATAATTCGACGGCGTGTTTGACAGCGTTTTTGTGGAGTGTCGCAACAACCACTTTAAGTTTGGTTTCGTCTTTGGTTTTTGGTAGAACCTGCCGCACCGCTGGTGACCATTTGGATATTAGTGTTTTTCGTGGTGCAGGGCAGAGGATCCTGCTTTGTGATTATGTTGCATTGGTGTGATGGACTGTACGATTGTAGAAAGAACTGCGAGGAGAGGAGGGCCGTATGATCTCTCACCGACAGCATCCGACACTCCAATAGCAGATATTGTTCCGCAGCGGCGCTTTGGCATCTGGTAATTACGTGGAGTGCGACATTCTGAGGACGTTAAAGATGGTTGAGGTTGGAGTCCGACATCAATGACCAAACGATGGTCTCCCATCGTCAGAACCGAACCATCTTACTCCATTCGATGAGTTTATAACCTCTAAATTTGTGATAGTGGAAATAATTTAATAAAAATGTTTTTAAACCTGTATAAAAAAATGAAATATTTGAAAATAGGTCGTTGATACCAATGCCAGTTCGTAAAAGATGATTGTCTCCAGTTGCTCTCGACTTCCTGATTTTATAAATGTTGTTGAAAAATTTTAAAAACGATTGTGCTGTTTGATTAAAGATTTGTTGTTGTGATAGCGGAGTTTCTTTGCATGACATTTTATCGTGCATATTCCCATATCTGTTTTTGCTTACATCTTTCATTACTTAATATTTTTTAAAAACTTTTTTTTACCGAAAAACAGCATTTTTTTAAATATACAAATCTCATTCAATTTTTTGCACTACATTCCTGTATTGAGCCGTTGGATATTGAGTAACTTCAATCAAAATACGTCTCTGTGTATTTTTAAACGATTTTAATAATTCATCAATATCACTACTCTTACGTGGCCAACCGATAACGGAATCAATTTGAAAAATTTATCGTCCAAAATCGAGTTAGCCTTACAGTGAATTTAGCAGAATAATTGGAACCAGAAAATAATCATAATAAACTTAATGACTGTACTATCGGAAATCTTATCTTAATTACTTTTAAATCACCAAACATTAACACCAACCAGGCACTATGATTAAGAAAATCGTAATCGCACAAGTTTTCATTATGTATGTATGTTTTAATGTACGTTTGTATATGTTTTGTTTATATACAAAAGTATTTACAAAAATTGATAAAGAGGTATAAATTTAATTTGTATAAAATTCAAGTTAATTTATTAAGTTAATTACTGGTAGGAATTATACTACGTAACAAATGAGCAAATCCTGCCCCAGTCAAATTTGTGTTTTTAAATATGATTGAACCCGACTCTGATCGGATTTGAGAAAGTCAAATCTACTCTTAACGATATTAGTAATTAAATAAATTCAACTTAACTAATCTTTTTAGTTAGAAACATAAATTTTAATGAACTTAATGAAAATGTTAATGTTTAATTTTTAAAAACTCATGAAAATATGTTTCGGCGATTTTTAAGACCGAAACCGGCCGAAACCGAACCTTTTCGGACAGTCTCTACTATTGAACTGTGGCAAAAATTTATCACATCGCAAACCGTGGATGTTTTTGAATTCAAACTATAATGTTTTTTAACGATGCTTGTTATTTTAAAGGAAAAAATTTGAGGTTTTCAACATTTAGTGTTGTAATTTTAACCAACTTTTTTCTATCCATTTTTTACTTCAAGTTATTGAAAATAATCGATAAAGAAGTGGATAAAGTTAAAGCCTCCTATTCATCAGAACTGGAAGCATTCAAACATTCAACAAGTAACAAATAAATAAACAATTTTTTAAACCAATATGAAATATGAAATATATAATTTTTTATTTTATGATCCAGATTTGCAATTTGCTGAAATGCTATTACTGTGCAATTATCAAAAGTCAAAAATTGAACAGAATAAAAAAAAGGAAATGTCTTTTCTGAAAACTAAAGTATGGGTTTGATATTTGTTCTTTTTGCTACTTTATTGTCAGTTGTTGATCATTTTACATTTTTTCCATAGTTGTGTCGCTTCAGTTATAACAGGGTATCACAACTAAATTCAGCTAACCATATATTATTAACATATATATATGTTATTTTTACAGCATGCCATCTATCTATACCATATTTTTCTCTCAAATCATTTATTTTCCGGCACTCGTCCATTAGGGTGGAGTGAATTTGGCAAAAAAATTTTCCTTATTTTTTAATTTCCTATATCACTAGTTGATGACCCTATGGGAAAGCATCATTAGTACAAAAAATTAAGTCTGCGACTTTATCTCGAGGTTGCGCACCATCAAGGCATTTCATAAAAATATTGTATTTGTACTTTTAACAAGAAAATATTTTTTCAATGCGCTTAAGAACTAATTTGTCTTTGTTATTTGTTTACAAAGTTCGCATGTTAGGCACGTGATGTAAAGAAAATTTGTTGTGGGACAAAGTATTGAAATTAATATTTAAAAAATGCCTAAAACTCAGAGAGATCCGAAGTGCCCTGTTATCGACAAAACATGGCGATAATTTGTTACCGACATATTGTGATGTGATCAAACACTACTTGTGGATAAGAAACGATATGCTCTAGCTCAACAATTGAAAAGATCCTTCAGTCAAAAATTTATGTGAAATGATTGCTACTAACATCGAACAAATTTGGAACAAAGCATCTAACATTAGTTATCAACAAGTCGTCGCAAGGTTGATTTTGTATTATAAGTACAAAAGTGTAAAAAAATTACGCGACAACTCAAGAAAACAGGTGTTCTATAAAGATTCATTGAAAAAGTTGTTTTATATCGCGACATTTAAGTGTATATCAAGATAATTATGCAAATGCATAACTAAAGTGCCTGCTGCTGAAGAAATTTTTTTAAAAGACCAGCGAAATGATCGCAAAATGTATATTGGTTCTGTGGATAATGTGATGACACAATCTATCCAACGTAGGGAAGCAAGGAAACGAAAGTATGAGGATTTTATGAAAAAACTTCGTCTACCCAAATGATAGTTTCAACATCTGGTAGTTTTTCAACTGATATATCAGATGAGAATGAGATTCGCATCATAGAAACGCCACGTCGATCTGGCAAAAAAACTCCGAAGTACCCTGTTATCGACAAAACATGGCGATAATGTGTTACAAATGAGAGGTCAGTTACAAAATCTAGCTACCGCATGTGACAGAACTGGAATTTCTGATCGATCTGCTGCATTTATTGTTAACGCTGCCTTGCTTGATTTGAATGTTATTGGTACAGACGATTCATCAAAAGCAAAATACGTTGAGAGCGAAAAAAAGTACGCAAACATTTGCAATAAAATTATTACAGCAATTTATTTCAACGGTCTTAAAGACAAGACTTTAGTCATGACTACTACTAACAATACAGCACATCGAAAAACAATTACTGAGGAGCATATTTCTCTCTTGTCAGAGCCAGATTCTGAATACATCGGTCATCTCTTTATTGATTCTGGAAAAGCAAATACGATTGAAAAACCATTGTTAATTTTTTTGAAATGAAATTTGAATTTCGTTCTTTCTTGGTGGCAGTTGGATGCGATGGCACAGCGGTAAACACGGGACACAAAAATGGAGTCATTGTTTTACTAGAAAAACACCTGAAATGACCTTTGCAATGGTTTGTGTGCCTGTTACACGCAAATGAATTACCATTTCGCCAGTTGTTTTCCAGTCTTGACGGTACTACAACAGGCCCTAATAGCTTTTCTGGCAGCATAGGAAAAAGGCTCGACAACTGTCTCGACTTCAAAGTAGAAGCATTTGAACCAATTCAAATAGAATTGCCAAACCTGAATACTGATTTGCTAAGCACCGATCAAAAATATCTTTATCAGATGTGCTCCGTAATTTCTGCTGGTACGGTATCACCAAACTTAGCTATTAAAGATCCAGGAAAACTGACACATTATCGATGGTTGACTTGCGCAAACAGGATTCTTCGGTTATATAGTGGAACAGCTAACCCGACGAAAAACTTGAAAGAATTAGCCAATTTCATCATGAAAGTTTACGCACCAACCTGGTTTGATATCAAGACAAAATTATATGACATTTCTTCAAAATGTCTTCTTGAAATTAAAATGTATCCTTGCCACACTCAGGCAGTAGAAAGGTGCGTCAAGCTCGTGACAGAGGCTTCAATATCAGAATAAAAGCCAGGCAAGATATACAAATTTTCAACACCAAATCTCAGTATTTTGGTAAAATGAAGGTGCTGAGACTTTGGAATTACGACATTCGAACAATTGTTTTTATTTTGATTTAATAATAACTATCAAATGTACTAATAATTTTAAGTATCAGAATATAAAATATATAGAAGCATTGTGTAAAATAAAGTTTCGTCAGTAAATCAAAAGTTTATTTTTTTTTAAAGTTCAAACCAGATGCGCCACCTGAAGATTTTGATTTAGAAAGCCAAAATTTTGCGCGAACACATCTTAGACAATGGGCAGTACAGGAATATTAAAATTTAAAAAAAAATTTTTCACTCCACCCTATCGTCCATACGTGTTCCATTTCTTCCATCTCCATACCACATAGTCTGCATGCGGCCTCGTCAATAATGTCAATTCTGTTCTGATAGCTTCTCAGTCCTAGATGATGCCCTGGGCGAAAGCGGCTGAGATTTACACGGTCTATTTTACTGAGTGTTTCTTCCTCTTTTACTGGGGGTCGTACATATACCGTCTTACATCTTGGGCAAGAGATTTTTTCAATTCACATAGTTTTTATAGTACAAATTCCTTCATTTTTTCAGTTTATACTCCTATGTAATAAGAGGAATAGCACATACATGGTTCATAAGCTATATGCAAAAGAGAAATCAGTATGTGTCGATAAAAAATAAATCTTCAAATAAATTAAATATAACTTCAGGAGTCCCGCAAGGATCAATCTTAGGCCCACTTCTATTTATAATTTTTATGAATGATTTTCATCTGGCTACTGACGCTCATCATCTTCTGTATGCAGATGATACTAACATTTTCTTCCCAACTAGCAATCCATCAAACGATGTAGAGATAATTAATAAAAGTTTAGATGATGTTTCAAATTGGTTCATCAATAATAAACTAATTTTAAATTTTTCTAAATGCAACTACATTCTATTCGGTCCAAAAATATTGACTAACACAATACCTAATTTAGATATAAAAATGAATAACCATAACATCCCACGCACATCCAGCACAAAATTTCTCGGAGTGATTTCTCGACAGCCAGGTCTGCCACAAGGAGTCTATGTTGGGCAACACATGATTCGCCAGGTATAACTTTGACATTTTTGAATAACTTTCGGTGTTGTTGCTTGACAGCGAAGAAATCAATTTGATGGTCCACGTTTGTATGTCATGAGATGTTCCAACCTCTTTCTAAAATATGTGTTCAGTAAACAAAACCCGTGACTTTCAGCAAACTCAAGGATGCGGTTGCCATCTTCATTCCGTTCTCTATAGCCAAAACCGCCATGTACGTTGTCAAAACCATCTGTTTTCTCTACAACGTGGCCATTGAGATTGCCTCCAATCAGGATTGTTTCCGATTTTGGTATTGTTGAGATGGTGTCAGAGAACGCAGCCCAGAAGTCATTTTTCATCTCTTCTGATTCCCCTTTCTGTAGTGCATATGCAGAAAAAATAATCATTGTTTGCTTTTCTAGGCGAAGTTTGATCCACATGAGACGTGAATTAATCCTTTTAATATCCAGTACTTCTTGGGCTAGCGGTTCTCTGACAAAAATTCCAACACCATTCCAGAATAGTTTATATTTTTTTTGTCTGAGTTGACATGACACCAAAACCACTTCAAATTTCATAGCGCGAAACCACTACAAATTTCATCAAGCTAGATGGTTCGTTGGATGAAACAGGCTCACTGAAGCAGTCTCTTAAACGAAGCAGTCTCTTAAACTTCTCGAAGAAATCAGAGCGAATTCACGTCTCAGCTACATCACTTCAAATTTCATCAAGTTGGATAGTTCGCTGGATAAAACAGACTCACTGAAGCAGTTTCTCAAACTTTTCAAAAAATCAGAGTGAATTCATGTCTCAGCTACATCAGCGAAAAGGGACAATCAATTTGCGAATTAATTAGCGAAGCACAAATAGCACGTTGGTCCAAAATCACTGACAAAATATCTGGGTAACTTTACCAATTTGTAATAAAATATCTGATTTAAAAATTGCCTGCAAATTCAAGTTTGTTTAAATATGATAAAGCTACAACTGTCTTGTGTCCGCTTTGCAACGTTCGCCAAAAAAATAAACGTCGTGTAAAACTGTGGTCTAACATCCGCTCTGACGAGATTCACGGACAGACACAATAAAGTGTTGGTGTTGATCATAAAAGAGTTGATGTCACTAGCTCCGACTTACTGCTGCCTATTAGCAGATTTAGAAATGGGAAACATTCGTAAAATGTCCCAGTTATTTAACACTTTACCTGCTGACATTGCCATTCTGTAGAAAATTGAGATGCTAGAACTGACGAAATGCCATGAAACTAACCTACTCCCATCCAAACAATTTAAACATAAAAAATACATAAATCTGAAACCACATTTAAATATCGACTATCTCAACTGCTCTATTATAATTAATACATTCGAATTATCGCCAATTGGTTCTTGTATTAAATTAAATTTATATTTATTTAAAATTTCATGGTCAATTTCCTTTGATTGATGTAAAATTTATAAACATTGATGTTAGCTCGCCATATGGTTTTATTGTGATAGAAACAATGCATGATGCTAATTAAATATAATTCTTACTTCTGTGCACGTGCCTTTATCATAGTTTACTCTTTCTACATTTTAAATACATTTCATTATAATTCATTTTATTAGATATTTCTTTCTATCGTTTGATTTCTTGTTTGGATGATATGAATAAATAAAATGTTTCAATAATAATAATAATAATTATTATTATTATTAACTTAATTTACGCTAATTAATAAATTCTCAAAAACGTCCTTAAAATACTTGTTCGTTGCACAATCTAGACAAATTAGTAGATCGTTGGGAATCATCAGGTTGTGTTTTGCTTACTTTTCCTGAAAGCAGAACAACGCTAATGGCTAATTGATGTCAGTCGCCACGCGTCTAGTCACGTGAAATACTCTTTTGCGTAGAAAAATTTTACTTGCAGTTATTTTTAATTCAGTAGATTTTATCGAACTAATGATGAATTTAAGCTGGGAAGTTTTTATTACATTTGGCATAGCCCACTTCAAAGTTTTTAATTGCTACTAATCTATCGTTATTATTACAATCGTTGTGAGTACTATTTATCATCGTTATCGTTACTATTTTGTTTTATCACTAATGCTAATGCTAACATTAACACCATTAACTTTTTTGTTAGATTAACTTTTTGCACTTTTTTATACTAACAATTATATTATCAGCAAGTTGCGGCACGCACTCTTTTTAGAATGACAGATAGCGAACGGTTTCCAGATCAAAAATTTATATTGATATCCGCTGGTCTAAATGCTGTTTTGCAAATTGCGCTGTATTTAATTTCGATTGAGTGTAATCAGATATCTCTGTAACGCCGATTGTAAAATTTCTCTAAAAGCAAAAAAGCAAAGCACAACTTGTAAAGTGAGGTTGGAATTGTTGGATTATTGAGTCGCGCTATGAAGTATTGGCGATCTTGCGACATTGAGCGTATTTTGGGTCAGTGAATAACTCAGTGTTTTTATAACTGTTGGAATTTAAATAAACGTTTAAACAAGTCTGTGTCTGAAGCATATGTGTTTATCTAACAAATCAGTAAACCTATGTAAGATCGTGCAAGTTACAACACTGGTGTCAGAAGCGGATTTTTTATAGATTAAAACTTCTGAAGAACTTGATACGACTACTCTGAGGAAGAAACTACGAAAACAAAACCTCGACTCAAAAGGAGCGAAAGGAGTTTTGATAAACCGTTTAAGGGATGCTCTGATGCTTTAAGGTAACGATCCTGATGAGTTCGACTTACCGAATCCTATGGCGGAGGAATTGAAATTAGAGTACGAAACAATGAGTAGAAAATTGGATCAATTTACAAACAAAGCCGAATTGCAAACAGCCACTGGAGGAACGAAACCTAATAAAGTAAAACCCGTCAAAGTGATAATTAAGAAAAACATGGAAATAAAATTAGACAGCAAAACATTGAAAAAACGATGAAGTTAGGCAGTCAAATGGAGGATCGATTAAGGTACCTGACCCAACCATTAACAGTAAAACAAAATACGAACATCACTCACCAGCTTTTTCAACTACTAACAAGTCTATCCTTAAGGATAATTCAACTGCGATAAGAAATATTTATACATAATATTTAACATGTTCGCGATAACATATTCATTCAGTGTTATTTTAACTTTTCTCATTTTACACTTTGTAAACTCAGTAAAAAAACACTTCTTTAAGTGCAAACAAAATCAAGGAAAGACCACTACGTCTATTCGTAGCTAAAGGATGCTAAACAACGAAAACCGTCATGACCCGAAAGAAAATAATGTAAGTTACAACAATGTAACAACTGCATAAGAAATATTTATACATAATATTTAACATGTTCGCGATAACATATTCATTCAGTGTTATTTTAACTTTTCTCATTTTACACTTTGTAAACTCAGTAAAAAAACACTTCTTTAAGTGCAAACAAAATCAAGGAAAGACCACTACGTCTATTCGTAGCTAAAGGATGCTAAACAACGAAAACCGTCATGACCCGAAAGAAAATAATGTAAGTTACAACAATGTAACAACTGCATAAGAAATATTTATACATAATATTTAACATGTTCGCGATAACATATTCATTCAGTGTTATTTTAACTTTTCTCATTTTACACTTTGTAAACTCAGTAAAAAAACACTTCTTTAAGTGCAAACAAAATCAAGGAAAGACCACTACGTCTATTCGTAGCTAAAGGATGCTAAACAACGAAAACCGTCATGACCCGAAAGAAAATAATGCAAGTTACAACAATGTAACAACTGCATAAGAAATATTTATACATAATATTTAACATGTTCGCGATAACATATTCATTCAGTGTTATTTTAACTTTTCTCAAAAAGAACGACCAGAAGTTACTATGCATCATGTTTAATTAACATACTAAAATAAAATTTTGAAATAACTCTTCCTGATAACATGACCGTAATGAATTATAAAATTTAAATTATTATCGGTTATCAACGAAATACACATTTTTCATATAAACTCATCCTTTTTATATTTTAAATAATTTGACTCGTTTCAGTGTTCATACTGTTGCAAGGAAGCGAAATTTAATTGTTGTCCTGGTGCTAATTATTGTGACTTTTCTTGTCAAGAAAAACATTGGAATATTCACAAGAAATCTTGTGCAACCAATACTTAAATTTGAATTTTTTTTTCATGAAATATTGATTCATGTAATAATATTTACAATTTGAAATTTTTTTTCTTTCATCTACAATCATTAATTTCATGAATAGTTTTTAATTTGTCAATTGTGCTTACATATTTTAAATAAAAACCTGTATCATTTTATGGTCTTTTTTCAGAGCGAAAGAAAACGATGCGGCCTTGTTTAAGGTCCTAATCACAAAATTAATGCAAGCGTACATTTTCAATTATTACTGAAATCTGATTAACAAAAACCATAAACACATTTTTCTATATTCAAATGGAGTTGCAATTTGAAACTAGAATGGCTTTTTAATATAATTGCTCAATTTCATGTTGATGATGTGGTTTTATACAAATGTCAAACTTATTAAAAAAACTTTTTACGTATATACATAAGTAACCAGTTCACGTAGTTTCAGCTAGTGTTGAAAACTTTTTCAACATTGTGTCACTGGCATAGCGAGAATTTTGCTTTGGGGAGGGTTTTAAAAATGTTGTTTTTTTTATTCTTTACACAATTCAAATTATGACAAACGCAAAATTTAGCTTATTTATATTTAAAAGACTTTAAAAAACTCATTTGAGTGAATTATAGTATTTCTGTGTTATTTTTTGTTATTCTGGTATAAATAATGTTAACATTATTCATGTTTTTTTTAAACTGACCAGAACGAGTATTTTATTTTTATGAAAGTGCCTTTGAAATTTTATTAAATTGGCGCCATATCTGTAATAATAGTAATAAAAATAGTAGTGAAAATGAAATCACATCTAAAAACATCTACACCGTTAATGCTATATGAAATAATATTGTTAAACAATTCATTAACCGCTATCACCATTCAGAAAATTAAATAAAATAAAAAAAACTCCAAACGCAGTATCAAAGTCCAGTAATTCATCTACGCGCCTTTTCACTAAACGAACGGTTTAAAATAACAAACAAATACATAAATGTATGGTCGACGAAACAACAAGAAACGGTTAGTACTCCCGTCAATCTCACACGAGGGAAGATAACTTTTTATACTGACAATTCAATAGAACCCTAAAAACCTCGATACGAGAACGTCAAGATACCTAGCACGACTAAAATCAGGTCACTGTTAATGACTACCATAAACAATTGACCATAATTAACACTTAACCTATTTATTAAAAATATGGCCTAAAAATTCAACACTAAACTTTTGCCTAATTAACAGATTTTTTACAGGAGCAATGACGACAAAACAACACTAATAATATAAATTATATTATTGACGATACATTGTTAATAGATCGGTGTGGGTGAATGTATGACAAAGAACGAATGAATAGATCGGTGGAGTTGAGTGTATGACGAAGAACAAGTTTCGGAAAAACAGCGACTATATAGTTGATATTTTTGCAGATTGGAGGCAAATGTAGTTAAATAAAATACTATTTTATACCAACAATCAGTTCAATAGAACTCTAAAAATCATAATAGTGTTACAGACGTGAAGCCGAGATAAGAACTGGTAGTTAGAAATTGCGTGAAGCGCTTGCAAATTAATTATAAGGCGTAAATAAGTAAAACGGTTGTAAAAGTCACGTGGCACAGCATGTGACACATTTACTTGCAGATCGGTAACTATACAAACAACGCCAACAGACAGACAGATACACAGCGAGAAAACACGAAGAAAAGAAGGACGAGAATAAAGAAGAGGTTAAAAGAAGTTTCAGGCAGTCCTCTTATCGCAGAGATATTTTGTCTGCGTACGGCAAGCAAATTAGCGATAACGTCTGAGGAAAAGTTTATCTTGAAGAATTCTACACGCGGTCTGCGAGTGAGTTACGATAATCTTTCAAGAAGCAAATACTGAGGATTTACGGCCAAGAAACATCTTACGAGAGAAGCTTAATTATTGACGATTAGTTGTATTCCGTGATTTACATGTCGATTAGTTATTGTGCTGTATTCTAACGATTTTATCGATTGAATAAACGAAAGATTGATCACAGCATTACACACAAGTGATTGCCAGCACTGTTTTCTTTCTGATAAAGTTCATCTAAAATAAGTCTGTTCAGGAGTCAAGAGTCCACATAGAGAGAATTAACCATACCCTACAAGTTCAAGGGGTCGGTTATAACAATAGGCTTGCTGGGGAGAAAATATGGTGTTGCAACATCGTAGCTGAAGCAATATCTATTGAGAAAAAAAAGTTAAGATGTAGTAACTGTCTGATGGTTGCTTAAAAGTCTATAATGTTTGGGTTGAGTGATGGCTTAATGGTAAAAAACGCATTGTCCTGTGTTGTAACCAGATTCGAAAACGAACGCGCTTATAACGTTTGTGTTGTTGATATCTCTCTGAGTTTTAAAAGAGCCTAGTACACCTTTAACTTTTCAAACTTTTTTTTATCTTAAAAGCTTAAGTAATCTAATATAATCATTTTGCCTGCATCATCTAGCTGCTGCAGTTCAGTGTCCATTACATATCGTTATTACATTCCAAGCACCAAGCCGAAAGTGGGAAGTCGTTTTTAATATCTGTTATTTGTTGATGTAGGGTTTAGAGATGTTTTTTAGTTTTACCAACAAAACATTGATTGATTTCGTTATTTCGTGTCGCTATTTTCCATTAGGGTAAAACGAAATCGTCGTCGACAGGGTTGCTATAACATTGGTGCCAGAAGTGGGATCTTCGGTGAACGTCGTTGTTGAAACATTTTGATTTTTTTACGTCAAGTTATTTTGCAAAAACAACATAACGAAACTATATCAACTTAAATGGCGGCGGTGATGATGATGATTCTGACAAAAATGGTAATAACGATGACAGTGATAGGAAAAATAATGATAACGATGGTGATAATGGTGATGATGATGATTTTAACAAAAATGATGACAAGAAGGAGAGTGATGGAAAAATTTATTAAGGGGATAATAATAATGTTAATGGTGACAGCAATTCTGGCAAAAAAGTGGTAATGAAAGTAGTGTTGATGATGATGCTAACAGTAATTATAAAACTAATGGTAATAATGACAAACGTATAACGAGAACAGTTATAATGATGGTAATGGTAATAATATATTTAACAAGTATGGTAATTATAATGGTTGCAATGAGTGTAGTAGTAATAAAAATTTTAATAAAGAACGAAAAAATAATTGTTATAACAAGGGTAATGGTAACAAAACTTCGAATTTAGACAGTGACAATAATATGAATGCGAATGGCAAGGACACGATAATATGGATTGTTAAATATTAAACCCATAATTACTTAATTCAACAAAATTTATGAAATATTTGACGTTGGCTTAGATATTTTGCTTCTGGCGGAACCATTGCATCAATCTAGTTCTTAGTTCTGCTGTGTGTCAAGGAATCGATTGCGACTCAATAAGTGCAAAACTCAATTTCTCCCAGTGGGAACTTGGCAGCAGCTCTCTAAAATGAGTGTAAATTCAGTTTTGCTATATGGCATGAATATAAAGCTCGGTTCCAAAGCAGTAAACAGGTCGTGTTTGATTCTAATATCAATCAATCTTCGTTTAGCGTCCAGAGAACCAGTTTCCCGAGGTAGGACGTTGTTTTCTTAGACATCAACTTTTTGCGCCAAATTAGACGATCAGTTGTATCCTTTTTATTTAAATTTAGAGCTTTCATGTCTTGCTCGATTGTTTGCCACCATGACTTCTTTGGACGGCCTTTGGGACGTGTGCCAGAAACTTCAACATTTGCAAGAAAAGTTATGGCACTGTTTCCACTTCGTGTGACATGACCAAACCATCTCAGACGGT